AAAAAAAAAAAAAAAAAAAAAAAATCAGCCGGGCGTGGTAGCGCATGCCTGTAATTCCGGCTACTCGCAAGGCTGAGGTGGGAGGATCGCGGATCCCAGCAGGTCGAGGCTGCGGTGGCCAGGAGCGGCCACTGCACTCCAGTCTGGGCGACAGAGTGAGACTCCGACTCAAAAAAAAACCAAAAAACCAAAAAATAAAATGATAGAGCACAAGATGGAAGGAATCTGGGTCTCTGAATCATTGCTGACCATTTGGGGACAGGTGTGTGCAAGACATAAGCTTCTGCTGGATAAGGCACTGAGATGGGGGTGGGAGTGAAGGTAATCAGTTCCAGCGTCTAACGTGACCTGACTTCCAGCTTCATCTCTCACACACTATCTACCTACTCAGACACACTTCCCAGCCCCTGACTTTGCCCAAGCTGTTTCCTCAGCCTGAAACGCTTTCTCAGCATCCTTCCTTCAAGGCCATCTTGGATATACCATCCGTGGTCTTCCAACCTTGTGTCACAGTCTCTGGTTTGCGGGTCTGCCTTTCACAAAGGGTTGTAGCTCTCTGGGTGCAAAGACTCATTTTTTTTCCTTTTTCATTTATCTCAGCACTCCCCCGAGTTGCCTAGCAAGGTGCAGAGCTATCAAGTGTTAGCTCAGATAAAATGGAGGTAATCATTGATCCGACCTGCTCTCACACCTCTAACCACCAACCTATGACTATAAAGCATGGCGTAAGGCAGAACTCAGATTTTGTTCATCCAACGGTCAATTTTGGATCTTGGCTTTGAGTCACTAAGGGGTGTCACAAAGGGGTCCTAGGAAGGAGTTGGCTCACTGGGCTGTTGCTGACCACAGCAGTCTTTTTCAGGGGTGAACAGAGGAAGAGGAAGCAATGGTGAGAGAAGGATGGTGGTGGTGGTATGTGTGTCGTGTAAGGAGAGGTGATTGTGTCAGTAAGAACAGGAGCTTCAGAAATCAGGGAGTGTGTGTGTGTTGCTCACTGTTCTGTCCCCAGTGACTAGCACATGGTAAATATGTGTTGTACATGGGAAAGGATGTGTATGGAGCTGACCTACACCTGTGAGTCAGAGCACATGTGGGATGTGGGGGTATAAATGTGAATTTACCACGAGGGGTGCAGGTGAGGGATGGAGGATGGAGGTCATGCCTGTGTGCATATGTGTGTGCATGAATGAGTGTGTACATGTTTCTATGTCACCCACCACTACAGTCATGGCAGTCTGGCATGCAGAGTCCATGGATGCCCATGTGCTTATGCCCACATGCAGACAACCCCGTACCCCTTTTCCTTATCAGCATCCAGGCATTACAGCATCCTCTCTGCAACCATGCTGTGGGGTGAAGAGCACCACACTTCTGTGGGTGGTGGCAGCTCTGCTGTGTGACCTCAGGGAATCCCCTGAATTTCTCTGAGCCCTCTCTTCTCTTTAGTTAATGGGGATACGAATGGCACCTCTCAGGGGTGTTGTGTAGATGATCTGGAAAAAGTGAGCCCAGAGTGCAGAAGGGCTTTTGAAGCACCCAGGCACAGGCAGATGGGAAGGATGATCTGACATCGGAAGGCTGCCAGGGAGGCCGACAGACAATCTCAGCTGGAGTGACAACTGGCTAATGCAGGCCGTCTCCCTAGTGGCAGCTTCAACACAGAACACCAGACATTAGGCCTTCCTGTACTGGCAGCTCTGTTGCTCTCTCCTTTGGACTGGCACTCTGCCCAGCCTTTCCTGGTCTGGGAGAACTTGTGTCTGGGGCGGAGGTGGACCAGGGAAGCACCCCCTCCCCCCAGCTGGGTCCCACCTCACCACACAGGCCATGGCCCTGGGCCTTGCTGGCTTTGCTGGCCTCCAGGATCATGAGTCCCGAGCTGTGGAGCCACTGGATCTGGATGTGTGAGGGTGTCCGGATGAGGTACATGTGGCCTGTGTCCTCAATTCTGAACCCATACCTGCTCACGGGGGGCCACACGGACTGTGAGTCCACGGTCACCTGGGAGGAAGTCTCAGTGTCAGCACAGCTTGTTTGTGCATAATTCATCCATCCATCCATCATCTGACAAAACATTTCTTAGGCACCTGCCATGTGCCAGGCCCCATTTTAGGCACATTCAGCCGAAAAACAGACCCAAGGTGAAAGAATTCTGAAAATATTTGCATGAGAAAAAAGCAAGATGCAGCAGGGGCCAGGTGGCATCTTGATGTCCAAATAAATGCAAATCCTGAGCCCTTCTAATACTCTCTTCTTCCCTGATTCTGTCAGATCATTTCTTCTGGGAGAGTTTTCCCAAATCCCCAGCCTTGGGATCAGACATCCCTTCTCTGAGGTATCCCCATCTCTGCGTTGACCATTGAGATAGAATCTGTGTACTCCCCTATTAGAATCTCCAGTTTGGAGACTGGGAGTTTCTTAAGGGCAGAAACTATGTCTGATTCATCTCTGAGTTCCCAGCACCTGCCTTTGGGCCTGGCATAAACTGGGGGCTCTATCACTGTTTGTTAAACATGCACCCCAATTCTCACAGACACTTTAAATTCAAAGCTACAACCTCTTCTGTGTATTGACAAGGTTAAGTATGGATACATCATGGGTGATTCATCTTACGCTGTAAAAATGAGAGATGAACGATTTAGGGTTTAAAATATTTATAATGAAAACCTCCTTCTTTCAGACTGTTTTATTAATCACTTTACAAATTATTCAGTGCATGAACTGCTGTGTTAGAGGGAGTCCCAGTCCAGAAGTCATTAACTTTGTGACCCCAGGAAAGTCCCTGGCTCTCTGATAGCCTGGGCCTGTCTGTCCAGACAAGGGCTGGGACTTTATGACCTAAGAGTGTTCTCTGGAAGTCAAAACCCATATCTGAGCCTAGAGATTCTCACTTGTGTTCACAGGACTCCAAGTCCAAGTAAGGACAAAAGACAAAGTTTCAAAACTATGAACCTGGACTTCCACTTCTGGCTAAGATGGAGTTATAAGTACTAGACTTACTCCCCTGACTTAAACAGTCAGAAAAGCTCACTGAATACATGGAACAACAGTTTTCTGGCATTGAACAGCTGGCAAAGCAGGAGAATGAGCCCTGAAAATAATGGGAAAAAATTATTGCTTAGAGAGTTTCTAGGCCACAGTGCAAGGAGGAGGGACCCAGGCAGAGCCTGCTGTTTTCCCAGGGTTAGAAAACAAGAGTCGGGACTTCGTGAAGGTCAAGGTAATTAGAATTTGCATGGCAGAATACCAAAGAGAGTTGCAGAGAGAGAGTGAGAGAATGTGTGCCCTGGAGCTTTGCAGAGTCTCCCTCTGACTCTGTCTTGATCCTGTCTTGAGTTTTCAGCTGAATATTGATCAGTTTATACAGGTGTGGAAATTATCTGAGGCTAGGGAAAGAACCACCTGAAAGGAATAGACAAAAAAATCCTCAGAGCTAACATAGGGCTGGAAATAGTTGGAACTACCACCAGCTAGAGTGGTACTCCACATCACATAGTGTATAGCGTAGTGCATGCTGTAGGGTATGGCTTCAGATGTGAGAAATTGGCACGTAGAATAAAATCACACTTCGAACAAAGGCTACTCAGGCTTTACCTAAGAAAGCTTACAGGCAAACCTCATAAGGGTCAAGCTGTTTCCAAACAGTTCCAAACATTGAACTGTTTCAATGCTCAATTATATTTTTCAAAAAAACAAAAGAATATCAGCACTCGACAAGGCAAAATTCATAATATCTGGAATTTAAAAAAACCTGTCAAACATGCAAAGAAGCAGAAAAATACAACCCATAATCAAAGAAGAAAACAGATCAGGACCAACTCAGAAATGACACATGATGGAGTTAGTAGACAGGAACATTAAAAATATTTTTAAATTATTTTAACTATGTTCTATATGTGCTCAAGGAAGTAGAGGAAAACATAAAGTGTTAAGGTGAGATATAGGTGATATCGAAAAGACCCAAATCAAATTTTTAGATATAAACAATATATTATCTGAGATGAAAAATACATTGGATGGGATTAACAGATGTTGAGACACTGTAGATGAAAAGGTTAATGAACTTAAATATAGAGTAATAACTACTATCCAAAATAAAACACTAAAAGAAAAAAAGATTCACAAAAGTGAAGAACAGAGCGTAAGTGATTTATGGGACAACTTCAAGTGTCCTAATATACATATAATTGGAGTCCCCAGTGAATTACCAGGCCCATCATAACCAAATTGCTTAAAAACGGTGATAGAAGGAAAACTGTAAGAGCAGCTGGGGAGGAGGGTGGCAGGGAAGCATATTATGTATGGAGGAACAAAGATAAGAATGATAGCAGCCGGGCTCGGTGGCTCAGCCTGTAATCCCGCGCCTTTGGGAGGCTGAGGTGAGTGAATTGCCTGAGCCCGCGGGTTCGAGACCCGCCTGGGCAGCGAGACCTCATCTTTACAATAAATCAAAAAATCAGCCGGGCGTGGTAGCACGCGCCTGTAATTCCGGCTACTCGGAAGGCTGAGGCGGAAGGATCGCCGGAGCCCAGCAGGCCGAGGCTGCGGTGGCCGGGAGCGGCCACTGCACTCCAGTCTGGGCGACAGAGTGAGACTCCAACTCAAAAAAAAAAAAAAAAAAAAAAAAAGAATGATAGCAAATTTCTTATCAGAAATAACTACGGCAAAAGACAGTAGAACTTCATAGTATCTGTAGCCTGAACCTTCCTAGCTATATAGGCAGGGGCTAGGGCTTCATGACCCATGAGTGCTCTCTGAGTTCTGGGAGTCAACATCCATCTGAAGCCCAGAGATCCTCACCTGTGTTCACAAATAAGGACAATGAAGGACAGGCATGGTGGCTCCTGCCTGTAATCCCATCATTTTGGGAGGTTCAGATGGGAGATACGCTTGAGCCCAGGAGTTCGACACCAGCCTAGGCAACACAGTGAGACCTTGTCTTTACAAAAAAAAAAAAAAAAAATCAAAAAATTAGCTGGGCATGGTGGCACACACCTCTAGTCCCAGCTGCTTGGGAGGATGAGGCGGAAGACTAGCTTGAGTCCAGGAGGTTGAGGCTGCGGTGAGCCATGGCTGTGCCTGGGTAACAAAGTGAGACCCCAACTCAAACAAACAAACAAGACAAAGAAAGGACAACCCAGAAATGATATATGTTGATAGAATCAGTAGACATGAATAGCTAATATATGAAAACAGCTCAAATGCCCATTGACAAACGGATAACCAAATTGTGGCACATACATACAGTAAAATACTATTTAGCCTTAAAAATGAGTGAAATACAATACAGATGAACCTAAACATGAGGTTAAGTGAAAGAAGCCAGACACACACATAAAAAATCACGTATTAGCCGGGCTTGGTGGCTCAGCCTGTAATCCCGCGCCTTTGGGAGGCTGAGGTGAGTGGATTGCCTGAGCCCGCGGGTTCAAGACTCGCCTGGGCAGCGAGACCTCATCTCTACAATAAATCAAAAAAACCAGCTGGGTGTGGTAGCGCATGCCTGTAATTCCGGCTACTTGGAAGGCTGAGGCGGAAGGATCGCCGGAGCCCAGCAGGTCGAGGCTGCGGTGGCCGGGAGCGGCCACTGCACTCCAGTCTGGGCGACAGAGTGAGACTCCAACTCAAAAAAAAAAAACCAAAAAACACAAATTGTCTGACACTATTTACATGAAATATACAGAATAAGTAAATTCACAGACAGAATGCAGATTGGCAGTGTACAGAAGCTGTGGGAAGAGGTGAATGGTGATTAACTGCTTAATGGATATGGAGTTTCCTTTGAGGGTGATGAAAAATGTTTTGAAAGTAGACGGAGATGTTGTTTGCACGATATTATGAATGCACTAAATGCCACTGAATTGTTCACTTTAAAATGTTTAGTTTTATGTTATGTCAATTTCATCTCAATTTTTAAAAAGACAGGGGAAGAAAACTCTTTCAAGTACTGAAAAAAAGTCAACTAATAATTCTATACCAGTGAAATTATTTTTTAAAATTAAAGGTGAGACCAAGACATTTTCAGACATATGAAAGCTGAAAGAATTTATTACCCACAGACCTGCACATAAGAGGGCTTAAGGGAGTCATTTCAAGTAGAAGAAAAATAATTAAAATTTATATTTACACAAAGAAATACACAGCACAAATATGGTAAATGTAAGTTTCTTAATTTAAAAATCACTTTAGAAGATAATTGATTTCTTAAGGGAAAGTAATAACAATGTACTGTGGAGTTTATAACAAATGTAGAAGTAAAATATATAACAACAGTAGCTCAAAGGCTGGGAAAGAGAAAAATGGAACTACACTGTTAAAAGTTCTTATGCAATATGTGCTATGGTACAATATTATCTGAAGTTAGACTGTGACAAGTGAAATTATATACTGTAATCTCTAAAGCCACCACTGAAAGAGAAAAATAAAAAGGTATAGGTAATAATCCAACATAGAAGATAAAATAAAATCATTTAATAAAATCCTAAAGAAGGAGAAAAAAAAAGAAAGGGGGAACAAAAAACAAATGGCAACACAATATATATAAGTCTAACCATACTGATGACCAGATTACATATAAATGGTCTAAACAGTCTCAATTAAAAGGCAGAGACTGTCAGATTGGATTTTTTAAAAAGGAAGGTTTGGCCGGGCTTGGTGGCTCAGCCTGTAAACCCAGTGCTTTGGGAGGCCGAGGTGGGATTGCCTGAGCCCACAGGTTTGAGACTTGCCCGGGCAACTTGGCGAGACCTCATCTCTACAGTGAAAGACTGAATGCCTTCTCTTTAAGATCAGGTACAGGATAAGGATGTCCACTGTTAACCTTTCTTATTCTACATCTACTAGAGGTCCTAACCAGCACAAAAGGCAAGAAAAATAAATTAAAAATATTCACATTGGATAAGAAATAAAACTGCCTCTGTTTGGAGATGACATAATTGTATAGAAAAGTTCAAAGACTTGTATGCCCTAAAGCTACTGAAATAAAAAGAAGAGAAAAATCCAGAGAATACATGAACTAATAAATGAATTTAGCAGCACTGCAAGATACAAGGTCAATATGAAAAATTCAATTTTATTTACGTATATATTAGTAATGAGCAATTGGAAAATGAAACAATAGAGCTATTTACAATAGCACCAAAAATTATGAAATACTTAGGAATAGATCTAACAAAATATGTGCAGTATTCCCGCACTAAAAACTACAAAACACCAATTAAAAAATCAAATAAGACATAAAGAGAGATATACCATATTTATAGATTGGAAGACTCATTCATGTTAAGATTTCAATTCTTCCCCCCAATAATCTATATAGTTAATGCAATTTCAATCAAAATCCTAGCAATATGTTTTATGGAAACTACCAAGCTGATTCCAAATTTATATGAAAAGATAAAGGGATTAGAAGAGCCAAAAACAAGTCTGAAAAAGAAAGAAGCTGAAAAACACATGCTACTTGATTTTAAGAGTTAAGAAAAAGTAACAGTAATCAAGAGAGTGTGACCTTGAGGAAAAGCTAGAATAATGGGGCAAAATGAAAGTCTATAAATAATCCAAAACATTCATGATAATTGATTTTTTTAAAATAAAGACTCAAAGATATTCAGTGGAGACAGAACAGTCTCTTCAACAATGGTGCTGGAAAAGTTAGGTATCCACTTTTGAAAAAAATAAATCTCTTGGTCTGGGCTTGATGGCTCAGCCTGTAATCCTGCGGTTTGGGACCCCAAGGTGAGTGGATTGCCTGAGCCTGCAGGTTCAAGACCCACCTGGGCAACTTGGCGAGGTCAAAAAAAAAAAAAAATTAGCTGGGCGTGGTAGCGCACGCCTGTAGTTCTAGCTACTTGGAAGGCTGAGGCGGAAGGATCGCCGGAGCCCAGCAGGTCGAGGCTGCAGTGGCCGGGAGTGTGCCACTGCACTCCAGTCTGGGCAACAGAGTGAGACTTCAACTCGAAAAAAAAAAAAGAGGAAAAAAAAAAAGAAAAAGATAAATCTCAACCCATATCTAGCACCATTTACAAAACAAACAAACAAACAAACAAATCGTAAAAACATATACCTAAAGCTATAAAACTTCTAAAAGAAAACGTAAGAGAAAATTTGTGTGGCCTTGGGCTAGACAAAGTTTGTTTAGGTGTAGCACTAAAATCGTAATCCATAAAAGAAAAAAATAATAAATTAAGAACTTCTAACTTTTGAAAAACACAGGTAGGTGAATGAAAAATATGCCACAGACAGGAAGATAATGTTTACATCTGGTAAAGAACTTGTATCCAAATTATACAAAGAATTCTCAAAACTCAATAAAACAATTTAATCTTTAAAATGTGCAAAAGATTTGAACAGACATTTCACCAAAGTGCATATACCATGAAAAATAAACCCACGAAAAGATGTTCAACATCATCAGTAAGTAGAGAAATACAAGTTAAAACCACAATGAGGTTCTGTTGTTAGAATGACTAAACAAACAGATACAACCCCCAAGTGCTGACAAAGTTGCAAGGCTACTGGCTCTCATAGAGCACTGGTGAGAGTGCTACACACCCACTTTGGAAAACAGGTTGGCTAGTATTGTAAAGTTAAACATACTCTTATGATACAATCCAGAGGTCCACTCCTAGGGTTAGGATTAAGGTTACATACAAAACCTATAATAAACTGTGGTACATCCATTCAATGGAATACTATTCAACCAGAAACAGTGAACTACTGATCTGTACAGTAACGTGGATGAATGCTCACCATATATGCTGATTCAGTTTATATGACACTTTGGAAAAGGCATAACTATAGGAACAGAAGATAGCTGTTGTCAGGAGCGGGGAGGAGGGGCACAGGCAATGTTTGGGGTGATGAAACGATTCTACCCCATGATTGTGGGTGGTAATTACATGACTGCAGGGGTTTGTTGAAGTCTGTAGAAATATATACTAAATAGGACACATTTTGCTGTATATAAATAACTTAATTTTTTAAATGGAAAAATTTTAAAAACTAAGAACTGGAACTCAAGAGAGTTCTCAGGAATGGGGCTTATGACAGTGGGTTTTAAACCCACTGTCATAAGCCCCATTCCTGAGAACTCCACAGAGGACGCTAAGACCCTGTGTTTGCTGTTCAAGGCAGATTCAGGAAGGTCTTGGCTCAGGAGTGGGGGAGAGTCATGACTTTGGAAGCTGAAGAGGAAACAAATTAGTCTCTCTTCCCTAACCGTTGGGAGAAGCAAAAATCTGCCTTTTGGGGAGAGTACCCCATATGCGGGTGGGGGGTTGTTGGACACCCCTAGTTCCTTGACAGAGGTGAACTTAATATGAAGCTAACAAAGATTAAATTCAGGGCTCCTCCCTTATATAGTCCCCTTCTTGGAAGGGGTCTGGGTGATAATGTGCTCACATGGCCATATGTTTTTGTAAAAATTCCTAAAGTGAGACAGCTACAATTATTTATACTGTCTTCTGCCATTCTGACTTCCTTTCTGTCACAATATCCTTCCTCTTTTGACATTAGAGTGGTCTCCAGCATTCTAATTAAAATCACCTCTGGATATGCCTAAGCTTGCATTATTTGTTAAGATGGTCACCTCCCCACCTCTGCCCCCAATTGTTTCTAAACCTCAAGGCCCTTCCATCCCTGGACTGCTTCCCTGCCTGAAGCCTGATACAGATACAACCCCCAAGTGCTACTGGCTTTTTGGGGCAGAGTTAATGCCCTCACCTTCCTGTTGAAGCGGTCAATGGTGACCTGATGGTCCAGATGAGTCACGTTCAGCATCACCAGACAGAACGGGGGCCAGTTCAGGTGCCCCTGTAGAGAAAGCCCAGCCCACATCAGCCCAGAGATCTGTCCTCCATCGCCCTCCAAGCGAGCGGGTGCAACAAGTGTGAGCACGCTCTGCTCCCACCCCCTCACAATGCCAGGGACACCCATCAGGGCTGTGTGATGGTGCACAGAATCCCATGGACCACTACTGGCTCCACCTGACCTCATGCCAACCCAGCCAAAAAAAGAAAGAACAAAGTTGCCTCTTCTACTGCTCATGGGGTCAGCCCAGTAGGAGAGCCCCCTGCAGCTGGCGCCCATGACCACAGGTCACACCCCTGGAGTGACATCCCAGACCCTCTGTTCTTCGGTGCCGTCCCTCCCACATGGCCTACAAAACTGGCACAAGCCTGGGACGGCACAGGTCCCAGGAAGGGCCAGGAGGGGGCGCACTCCCCTCAGCCTGCTCCTGTCATCCAGGTGGCTCTCACCTGGGAGTCCCTGTCCATTTCAGGACACTCCTCGGAGACAGAGGGAGTTTCCACATCTGTCCTCGCCTCTGCCACCCCTAAAACCAGCCCACTGCTCCATCTCCCCTGTAAAGCTAATCCAGTTCCCAGGCCCTGCAGGGGGGAAGCAAGGGGCAGGTACCAAGTTGGCACTTTTGCAGTCGAGGACGTGGACGTTGACCATTTCATCTGGGCTCTGGCTAAGGATGTAGATGGCCTCCTTGAACAGGGCGGCGTGGCTCCCGTCAAAGGTCACAAAGCTCAGGTCAGGGAAGATGGAGCACCGGCCTGGGAGAGGAGAGGGCGCCAGAGGAATAAGCGGCGCCTCTCAGACCAAGGCAGCCTGGAAAGATGGGACAGGCACTGGGGTCCCTTCCCAGATGATTCAGAGGCCCAAGGGTCTGGAGGATCACTCAGAGATCATCACACAGAAGTCAGAGGTCACAAGGTAGGAAGTTCGCCACGTCGGGGTCACACTGAGATAAAAGGTCCCAGGGGAGAGGAGGCCGCAGCACACAGGTCAGGGGCAGGGGTCATGCTGGGGCAGGGGCTGTGCTGGGGTAGGGGACAAGGAGGGCACGGAAGACTCCGCTGACCCCACAACTCACAGGCACACTCCCAGAGGGGGCAGCAGCGGTCCCCGCCCACCCGCACAGCGAGGCCCAGGACCCCACAGCGAGGGGGAGCCGCGCCCCCGGGACAGTGCTGGGACTGGTTCACACGGATCAGTTGGCCATCCAGGCAGATGTGGCGGACGCAGTCCTGCTCGGCAATTGGCTGGGCACAGGATGGAGGAAGAGTGTGAGTGCCCGTCCATGAGACTACAGCCCACCCACCCTTAAGTCACGGGGACACAGGATCCTGTCCACACACAGGTTCTAGCAGGGCAGGAGTGAGGACAGTCGCTAAATGTCCAACTTGCAGCCTCGCAGCTGGGTAAGAGACAGAAGCAGCGCAGGAGGAACGTGGGAGAGTGGAGGTGACCAGGCCCAGTGGCATGGAGTGGGGGAAGGGTCACACACAGACAGCCAGAACCCCGATAAGTCACTCACCACACAGATGTCAGGTGTACTGGCCTCCGTGGTAGATTCCAAGACCTCTGCTGAACCCTGTGAGATGCTCTGGACTGGGGCAGAGCGCCCAGATTGTACTGTGGTGGCCTCGCCCACCGGCTCTTCTGGAGGCCGAGGCCCTTCTGAGGTTCCATGGGCCTCAGCCAGCTGAGGCAGCAGTACCAGTGAGCTCTCTCGGGAGGCTGTCCTGGCTGAGACCCGCCTCAGGGGATGGGAGGTGGGCATGGGTGGCACTGTACCAGCCAGGGGCCCCTCAGCTTCAGTCACCAAGGGGACGAGGGTGTGGGCCACAGCAGGTGTGAACTCTGTGGGCCCCTGGGAAGAGCCATAGAGGGAGGTAGGCAGAGACACATGCTTGGACAGGATGGCCATCCTCTCTGTGGTGCTCTTCCGTGGGACAACAGGGACTGTGGAGACCACACCTTCAGTCACAGCTGCGACTCCAGAGGTTGGCAATGTGGCTCCCAGAAGCAGGCCTGGAGTCATGTCTGCTGCCTGAGGGGTTGTGTGGCCAGGTAGGTGCCCTTGGGCCACCGCAGCAGAGGTGAGAGGCAGTGCTGGGCTAAGTGTCTGAGCAGCTGGAGTCGTGACCATGGCCAGAGACGTGGCCTGTGGCTGGAGTGGAGAGGTGATGACAGAGCCTTTGGGGCCAGGTGTGGCCACAGGGGCAGATGTGCCCACCTTGGCCAGGGGCAGGCTGGTATCGGGAGGTAGGCCAGAGAGGAGCTGGGATGGCCGAGTTGACTCAAGGGACATGAAAGGTGTGGACCCCAGGCCATGAGTACCTATAGACAGGCTGGTGGCTGCTGGGGTCCCTGGGGGCAGAGCTGGAGGCCTGGTGGCTGTGGTGGCGTGCTGGGTGGGGCTGGACAGGACAGTGGGGAGAGGGTGTGGATGTGGGGGTGCCGGCAGGCCCGTGGGCTGGCCGTGCCCCGCTTCACCCTTCTCTGTGGATGGTAATGTCTCCATCCTCTTGGTAGCAAGGGGACTGACAGGAGCCTGCTCTGAAGGGGTTTTAGCCACGGTTAGGGGGGTTCTGGGACTTGAAGCACTCTGGACGTGGGTGGGCTGGGGGGCCACTGTCTTGCTTGTGACCCTCGTCACTGCAGGTGTCAGCATAGCCCTGTGGGATCCCGAGGAGGTGGGGGGCCTGGAGGTCACTCCAGAAGGAGCTACCGGCCTGGAGGAGGGCCTTGCTGGCAAGGAGGGCTGTAGGGGTGTCGACCTCACAGGCAAAGAGCCATGGCCTGGGACTGTCACAGCTTTGGTCATGAGCGGCAGGCGAGGGACAGGGGGCGACCGGGAGGAGACCGTGACGTTGGGGCTCCCTGCAAAGGTCACAGTCACCCTGGTTGTCTCCACAGCAACCGACACCACGCCTGGTGTGGGTGTGTGTGGCAGAAGGGGGAGGGATGAGGACTCAGGGGAGGAGGATGCAGCCAGGAGACTGGCGGTCACCCCCTTGCTGGCTGGGGCATCTGTGGGGCGGGCAGAGAGTTTGGATGCAGTGAGCCCCAGTGGTTGCCGAGGGGTAGGCTGGGTGGGGCCCCGAGACAGCACTGGTCCCTCTGTGGCTGATGTCGGTGGGCTCGGGGTTGTGGTGAGGGGGGCTGCTGGGGCCAGGGTTGAGCTGTACGTGGGGCTCCTGGGGCTTTCCTGTGGATGCTGAGACTCCTTGTCACGGGGGGTGGGCGGCACGTGACTGGGAGGCAGGGTCTCATTGCCAAAGGCCTCTGTGGGAACCCAAACTGCAGGCTCCACGCCTGGGGAGACAAGAGAAGAGGCTCAGAAGGGGAGGTGACCAGGGCCCCAGGGTCATCACAGGGCGGGGCTGTAGTGTGGGGCTCGAGGATTGAAATGCCAGGTGATAGGTGAGGGCAGCTTCAGACGGCCAGGTCATCGGGAGCCTCTGTCCTGTGGCATTGGATGACTTCAGAGAAGTCGCAGGTGTGGACTCTGCCCCAGACCTTGAACCTTGAGTCCAACGCCAAGACACCACAGGTCTAAGTCTGGCACCATGAGGACCCTGAGCTCTCTGTGAAATGGAGTGAGTAGACTGGATAACGTCTGTGCCAGCCCTGTGCCTGTGCTTCCTTCTGGAGGCCCCTGACCTGATCCTGCTTCTCTGGGGCCTGGGGCCCCTGGGGCATAAATGCTTGGTGAGACCCTGGGGACTCAGGAAATCTACACAGGGCGAATCTAGGCCACTCACAGTCCTCCACGTAGACACATCTCTGTGTGACTTCATCCAGGACCTTGGGAACGGGACACACAGGGACACAGCCTTCCACCCTGAGGACAGAGCGTGGGAGCCTGTGAGTGGTCTGGAATATGGGGAGGGTCACCTCTTGTTACCTGGATTGAGCACAGGCCTCATCTTTTCTTATGACACACGTGTATGTATACGTGCAACTCCCGTGAACCTCCCTAGGGACCCTTTCACACATATGTACAGGAGCATCCACCCAAGTGTGCATGTCACACACTCCTACCCCTCAGTTCCAGAGGCAGACATACACAGACAAGACACGGATACACCCACACTCGTGCACATGCCCACGTGTCTCTGCCTGGGCACACTGTCACATGGACACACGCACCCCCTCCAAGCCTGAGGATTCCAAAATATTTACACATCGACATCCACAACCACATGGACTCCCACAAACACCTGTGAATACACCTTATACCTGCATACAGCCGTATGCAACACCCATATACACAGAGCTGTGCATACCAAATACATAGTTGTAGTGGTGCACACACAAGGCTCTGCCGTGTACACATTGTGCACAAATGGATATTCACATATGCACACCTATATGTGTGTGTGTGTGTGTGTGTGTGTGTGTGTATGCATATATAAATGTATGCACACTCACATGAAAAGGTACCCTGGTACACATATCCCCGTACACAATACATGAAACACTCATGCACAAGTACATGTGAGCACACACACACACCTTGACTCCATGCCCACGGCCCCCGGCACCTCACCTGGGCACATCCTGGCAGCTGGCTGCCCGTGGGTCCCGGCAGGTTTGGAAGCAGGGGCTGGCACAGGCATCGTAGCGCCACTCGCACATGGGGTAGGCAGCCCCCAAGGGTTTGGCATCTAGAAAGGTGCCTAGTCTAGTCAGATCCCTAGACTGAGATGGGTAGCAGCTGGGAGTCAGCCACAGAGCACAGGGGAAACCCCAGCTCAGCCCACGTCCTCCCTGCCCCGTGGAGGAGACAAAAGGACCCAGCTGGGAAAGTGAAAGGGAAAGCCACACTGAGGGCGACTGCATTCGTGGTGTTGGGGTGAGTGCCTGGGGTTCTGGAGATGGGGCTCTGGGAACCCTGTGTGGGCTGAGGGTGGGGAACTCTGCGGAGGGCAGCTGGGGTTGGGTTTTGAGGGGTGGCCAGAAAAGAGGCTTGGACCCCGATCTCTCCCCAATTTGCCCCATTATTCTTCCCGTTTGGAACCCCGGTGCCCAGGCTTGTCCTGCGTCTCAGGACACAGTTGCCTGCCTCTGGCAGGCCCACTGCCGACCTCCGTGGGGGCAGTAGGCTCTCCCCTGGGGGTTGGGGTGAGGCACTGGGGGATCCCTTCCCCTCTAGCCCAACGTCCTCCTGGGTGTCTGGCAGGTGTGGGAGATACTTTCCCCAAGCTGTACCCTCTCTGTTCCCAGGGGGCACCTTGAATAGCCCCTCAGGGCCTGGGGGTGCAGCCTGCTTGGGCACTCTCTTGATTCCCTGGTAGCTGGAACTAACAATAGTAAAAACAACAGCCAACTAGTGAATAGCACCAAGCACTATGCTAAACATTTCTTGTGTGTTTACTCACTAATCCACGACAATCCTGTGAAAGAGGTTCCATCCTTGCCCCCAATTTATAGATGAGGAAAGTGAGGCTCAGATGATGCTAGGAAAATGTTACATTTCTAGGAGAGAGGTTCTCAGAAGAGGCCTTGCGGCCAGTGCCTTCACAACTGAGGGAAAGGCCTGCAGCCTGTGGGAGCTTGGAGGCAGACAAGACCCCAGACTGCATTGGAACAAGCGACCAGTTTCTGAAACCACGGCCTGAGCAGGGAGGCGAGGGTGGCTCTGTGGCAGGTGGAGGGATCCCCGCCCTGGCGGCCCCCACCTGACACCCTGATCCCCATGCTGCTGCTGACTGTGAAGAGACTTTCCTTTCGAAGAGCCTGGAGACTAGAACCCAGAACTTCTAATCAGGGAGCACCTACTGTGTGCCCGGCCCAGAGCAAAGCCTGTGGGTACAGTCAGTCCTCACAACGCCCCTCTGAGGCAAACATCCTCATTTCACAGATGAAGAAACAGAGTCAGGGGGTCAGGGGTTCCCCTTCAAGTGCCAAGGACAAGGGGCAGGATTCTGTCCAGCTTCAAAGCCTCATGCCGCTCTGCCCCGGTGTCTCCCAGAGAGGGACACAGTACTCCCACCACGAGCAAGTCTTGTCATAGCCAGTGATGAATCTGTCCTGGGCAGGGCTCAAGGGCGGACTCGGTCACTGACCCCGGATGTAAGAATGAGCTCACCTAGCCCTGGGTTGGGGGTGGGGAGAGAAAACGAAGAGGCTGCTGGAGATACAGTTTCGTATTGTGCCTCTATCCAGCACAAGGTGCCCTCACAGGTATACACACTTGTGTACACCCAGGACAGAGAGCCAGCTGCAGTGGTGAGGAAACCGTGGTCGCTTCTTCCAGGGTTTAGGCAGCGAACAGTGTTTGGGGGCAGACCCAACTGGCCAGGCAGGCGCCCCTTGGTCTCGGTGGAAGGTCAGGAGCTGCCCCATCACTGCCAGGGGCCTGGCCTCCCTGGAGAGACATGAGGCTGCTGGTTCCACAGGCTAGCACCCCAGCAGGCAGTCCTTGAGTTCACAGGACAGGTACATCCCCCATCAGCAAGAGCACTAGCCGGCAGGCCACGCAGGCGGCCAAGAGCACTTCCCTCCCTTCTACAATGGTCGCTGTATTTTTTTTTAGGCCTCACCAGTAGGCAGGACCCAGGAAATTGGCCGGGACCCAAGCCACGTTGCCTATGGCTCCCCAGGCCGCCAGCCTGGAGCCTGGGCCACCTCCCCTGTCGGGAGTGGCACCCAGGTGACCCCCTGTGCCAGGAAAGTGAGGATTCTGTTTCTGGGGGGCAAGTGGAAGGGCCGGTGGGGAGAGGGTGGGAAAAGCAGTGGAGGGAGGGGCCGGGGCCAAGTGTGACATCAGGGGACACCTACCCAGCAGGCGGAAGAGCGTGCCCTGGCGGAACGCCTCCGTGTGCTCATACAGCCGCAGGGCCAGTGCGGGACCCAAGGCGAAGAGGAAGGAGCCGGGCTTTGCCAGGGACTCCAGGGCTACCAGGCCTGTCCGCCATGTCCCCTGGTGCAGCGAGAAGGAGGCATGGTGGTGGAAGGCGTCATGGCCCTGCCACTTAGCCAGCTCCAGGGAACCATTGGCTGTGACGTGGAGGAAGAAGTTGGGTCTGTCTGCTGCCTCCAGGGACACCACAGCTGGGTCTGCAGAGAGGCACGTGGGTAAGGTCAGAGCAGGAAGGGGTCCAGACCGGGGGTGGGGGCAGTATCCCGGCACATGCCTGCTCTCCCAGTGACTCTGGATGGAGGTACACCTATGAACCGGCTCAGTTCTGCCCTCCGTGCCTGCCCCGCCGCGCCCAGTCCACCTCTGGTGGCCTGAGGGTGACTGGAGGATGAGAGGCTCCCCCACCTAAGCCTCAGGAGCTGAGTTCTTTCCTTCCCTACCCCACACTCCTGCCTTCCTCCTCCTGCAAACATGTCTGTACACCTTCTGCGTGCCACGTGCTATTCTAGATACCCAGGATCCAGCAGCGAATGAAACTGAGACGGCTGCCCTGATGGGGTGACAGTCTCCTGCATGCATTGACAAGCTGGAGGCTGGTAAGTCGACAGGGCAGGGCCCCAGCTTGGCCCTTCCCCTCACAGAATCCCAGAGGGTCAGCACTGGCAGACCTTGGTCCGCCCCACAGATGGGGAAAGTGACCCCGAGGGAGGAAGGGACTTCTCCAGAGACCCAGAGCCCGTCTCCGTCCTCTCTCTTCGGTCCCTGTAAGTACGAGGTGGACAGTCCCCTCTGTCCAGGGCACTCTAGGTCTCCTTAAGTCCCAGATCCACGAGCAGGCATGGAACAAACACAGAGCCAAGAGCCCAGACCCCAGGGAACAAAGTGACAACAATCCCTGCCCTCACGGAGCTCACCCTCAACTGAGGGGGACCATAAATATACCGAACAAGTAAACTCTGGGACAGATTAGAAGGTGATGATATTGATGTGCCCATTTTACAGATGAGAGAAGTGACGGTGGAGCCCAGGCAGGCTGAGCTGGGGCCCAGGATCTTGACCACCACACAGATACCCTGTGGTGGGATGCAGGAGGGGCACAGGGCAGCATGGTGGGTAGAGCACTGGGTTCCAGGCCAGCCCTGCTCCCCTGAGCTGTGTGACCTCAGGCAAGTCACCACCTTCTCTGGGCTTTGGCTCCCTCCATCATGAAGATGAGGTTGGCCCAGGTTAGGGCTTCTCAATCATCTACCCTGATGTCCTCCTAACAGGGGAGAAGCTGAACCCCAGACCCAGAGGAGCAGAGTCCTGTGGGTGGCCTTAAACCTTCAGGGATAGTGGGGTTGCTTGTGGCCTCCTGTGGTCCACTTCCTGGCTTCTCACCCCAGACCGCCTCATGCAGCTACGTGCTTCTGCCTGGCCCATCCTGCTGTTCCCCCAGACTCACACCACGGGGATCGTCACCCTTGGCTGGGGACCCTGACTGTGCCCGAGGCTGGGCAGGAGCTGGGGTGTCCCTCTCCTCCTCAGAGCCCTTCCTTGGCTCCCCGCTGCCCTGGAGATAAAGTCCCCGCTCCTGTGCTGGCTTACAAGTCCCTTCCTGACTCCTTCACACCCTCAGGGGAACATCAGTTATTTCAAGAAGCCCCTGCTGACCTTCTGACACTGATTTAGGGGACCCTCCCAAGCATTCCCATGGGCACATTCCCATGGGCACATTCCCAAGCCACCTATGGGCATGTCTGTCTCCCCGTGCAACTGTGGACCTCTGCTAGGCAGGGACTGTGGCTCTCACATCCCCGAATCCCCGGGAAGGAGGGAGGTGGAGGGAGCGAGGAGAGGAGGAAAGGAGGCAGGGAGCACAGGGAGAGAGAGAGAGAGGCGGGAGAGGGAGAGGAAAAAGAGGGGAAGGAGGGGGAGGGGGAGGCAGAGCTGCCTCTGGGCTGTCCTGGAACACAGCTGTGGCGTGAAGCCAGGTCTGGAGGCACATCCGGGACTCGGCGTCCCAGCATTTTTAAGAGAAGATAGACAGTCTGCACAGAGGCTAAGAAGCCCACCCAGAGGCCCCATCACTGGGAAAGGGGCGCCTGTGGGATCCCGCCCCCCTACTCCGGCCACTACAGACGCTGAGAGTCGCAGCTCCCTCCCCTCCCGCAGCACCCACCTCCCTCCCAGAAGGGCTGGAGGGGCCAGGGTGGGCCTCACCATGCGCCTTGGCCTTGTACAGGGCAGCTGTCAGCAGGAAGCTCGCGATGTCCCCTGGCGCCACATCCTCTGCCCTCACCAGGACTATGTCATTGCCCACCTCCTTCACGGCCACCAGGGCGCCGCCGGCCGCCAGGCTGGACAGCTGGTAGGGGCCTTTACCTAGTGCTGGAGAGAAGAGGCCCAGTCAGAAGCCCTGCCTCCCAGGCCTTTGCCCCCCTCCCGGCCCACTGCCCCACCCCTGGGGGGTGGGGAGGGTGTCAAGCAAGGACACTCAGTGGCTTCCTTCATCTCAGGCCCTGGGGATCATGATTTCCATGAGGAGGGGACAGGAGCCCTAGGCTGCCAGCCCCCGCAGGGACGGACCCTGTGCACCATGCCTGAACCACCACAGTGTGCCTGGGAAGAAGGCCACTCACAGGCGCCAGGGTCCCCACAGGGCCCCCAAATGTCTCTCCGTGCCCATTCCCTGCCTGAAACTTCACCATCACAGCCACTGCTCAGTTCAAGGTGGCCTCTGGGGGAGACATTGGAACTGGTCTCTGCCCATCCCGGGCCTGAGTCACCAAGGCCAAGAGGGCTCGCATGCAGCATCAGGGTTCATCTGCTTATTCCAAAGGTGCATCACGTTTGTGTCTTGGGGTTCCTGCAGTTGTCGGGAGGTTGGCGCGGGCTGGGGTTCCTAACAACTGCCTTGGAATGGGTCTCCCTGTCTCTGGTGCGCCATCCCCCATGACCCTCCTGGTGGCCGCCTGAGCCACCTTTCCAGCCACACTCCCTGCAGGGATGTGCCAGGGGTTCCCCACGGCCCTCAGACAGAACCAACAGAGCCCAGCTTGCATTCAGGGCCCTCCACCCCCACCCCCAGGCCCTCGTCCCCTTCACTCTGAACCTCGGCTCGAAAGAGCCCAGCAGGTTCCCACCTCGTGTCTCGTCACGCCGCGCCTCCCACTCTCACTAGTCCTCCCCGCTCCGTGCCTGGCGAACGCCTACTCAACCTCTGGGGCCCAGCTCAAATGTCACCTCCTCGTGAAGCTCTCCCTGCGCCACCCCTCCTCCTCTGTGCCCAGCAGCCTCGGGGCACAGCCCACGCTGTCGCTGCTCTTGTGCTGCGGATCCGGATCCAAGGTCCGTGTCTATGTCCCCACTAGACGGATAGAGCCAAGTCGAGCCGGTCCGTGCTTAACAACTGGCTCTCCAAAAGTAAACTAATCCCCCGTGGAGTGTTTGCTGATTTCCCTGGTGTAAACACTCCCACCCGTGGTTGATCTGGAAGCACCAACTGCATGTGGAGTTCGGAGGACTGATGGGTGCAGGAGAGACGGTGCCAGCCGGCACCGGTGGTGACAGGTCTCTGTGCCACTGATTTCTCAGCGCCCAGCAAGGGCTGGACCGGAACAGAGCAAGGGATGAATGAGTGGGTGGATGAGTGGGTGGAGGATGCTAGAAACAGCTTGTCCTTTGCCAGTTACTGCCACCCAAATGCCACAGAAGAGAGAAAACTCTGCACAGAGCTGTCTTTCTGAAATGTCTCGCCTGATGTCAGACAGACTCTGCCTGTCCCAGGAACCGCAGATTTATTTGAAGGCTTGGGGCCTTCAGGAGCCCCTAAAGGCTAACCCGTCAGCGAGACCACAGTCCTGTGGGTGCCCGTGCCTCAGCCTGGTCCACCCTGCACCTCGCAGATGCCCAGCTGGTGGTCTGGTCTTGTCTGTTCCCTGCATCTCACTCACAATGCTCTTGCCAGGAAGACGTTTATTCAGCCCCAAATCTGTTCATGCAGGTAACTGAGGATACACCCTTGGGCCGATACCCACCTAGGCCTGATCCTGGCTCCTCAACAATGCCTAGGAAAGGGCAGGGCTTGAGAGTTGAAGAGGAACAGCACCAAGGACCCGACAAGCATCTGACTAACTCTGCCAAGGTCTGACCTTTGCCCAGATGGATGAAGTTCAGTGCTGGAAACCACTCTGGGCTCCTCCCCCACCCACCCAACCCCAGTGATTAAACCAACTGGCTCTGACACTGGACATGAACCTCCCTTGGGTCTTTAAATACGGCCTGTTTTCACTCTTGTTCATCTAGACATTGGAGCACATTCTGCTCCCCTGCGGCCCTGGCTAGTTCGAAGATGAGTCTGGAGAGCCATATGTCTTGCCCCCGCCAGTCGCAGAAAGAGCAGTGTGTGTTTGTTTTAGGGAGCCAAGACAATGCTCCATGGGCCACGTGAGACAGAGCATAGTGTTTTTACTTCCTGGTGAAGCTGCCCTGGGTGGGCTTAATCCCCGGGGAGCTGGCCTGGCCCAGGCCCAGACGGGGGCTGCAGGGACTGCTGGGGACCCCTGACAGTGCACGGCCGTCTCTGCATGACGAGGTCCCCCGCGGCCCTGAGTTCAGTGCTTCAGGATGGCAGATGCTGCTGTGGCATCAGGACAGCGCCGGCAGGGCCCCAGCCCCTGAGGTTCCCTGTGAGGGACTTACCTTTGTTAAAGAAGTCACAGTCATAGGCTGAAAGAGAGAGAACAGAGGCTTCTTGAGTGCCAGCCCAGAGCCAAGGCCCTGGCATCCCAGCCTCCCTGCTTCCCCAGCAGTGGGGCCTGGCCGGCCTCCCGAACGCCATGATTCAGGGATGGTCACTGCATGTAGATACCTTTGGGGAGTGGGGATTAATGGCTCCTCTCTGGACCTTCAGTACAAGGCTCAAAGCCTGGCCCAGGTGGGCACTCAGCAATGAATACAATGAATGAATGAATCAATCAATGATTCGATGAATCAATGAATGTTGGATAGAAAGGGGATTGTGAGACCTCAGACGGCAGGAGTGGAAACTGTGATTGGAAATGGTGCAGAAGGTGCCCAGAAAAATGCAAGCATAAGATGGCAGTCAGCTTCCAAGAGTCCCGGGTGGGAAGGGGACCAGGGCTCCCCAGCATCCCAGGCCTCTTCTGGCTCTTGCAGTGTCCCTCACCCAGCAGCGTCGCTCTTGGAAGCCAGACTTCGACAAGCTCCAAGCATGAGCTCAGAGCGCCCTCTAGTGACCATAGTCCAGCACCACAGCCTGTTCTCCCCAGACTTCAGCTGCGGATTTCTCCATGGACTGGAGTGAGCTAGGGACCTTGCAAGGGACATCTACAGCCAGGTGCAAGGCCATGGGGAAAGGCCTGCCTCACACCTAGGCATGGTGCGAAGAGAGTCATCCACCGTCCTGCACACCCAAACCCCACAGTCAGCACATTTGGCATCCCCCTCGAGAGAGCGCCAGGTGTCCGGAGACGGACTTGCCATGTGCCACCAGCAAGTGCCTACCTTCCTCATCGGTGGACTCCAAAGACTGAGCTAGAAGATCAGAAGGTCATCGAGTCTCTGGCTTCAAGTGCGTGCCCAGTCGATGGGAGGTAGCCCAGAAGGGTCATTAAAAGCCAGTTCTCTGGAGCCAGACCTGAGTTAAAATCCCATCTCCTGCTCTCATCCACTGTGCCCTGTTTCCACCTTTGTTCTTTTGGGGCAAGTAACTTCACCTCTTGAGACTTCACCTCCCTCCTCTAAGGTGAAACCCCGCCTAGCATCTGGCCCGTAGATTGCCAGGGTCTGGACCAGGGTCGGGCAAAACACTTGCCTCAAATGCAAAATGCAAGGGGGTACCCCAAATCTCAGACATTAAGATCAGTACTATTTTACTGCAGTATTTTCAAAGCATCAAAATTAATGCAAAAATATCCCTGATTCACAGAATATCAAAATTTAAAAATAAAGACGGGATCATTAGCAGGGTCCCACTGAGCCCTATTAGAGTGAGGCAAAAAGGAAACATTAATAGCATTGATCCTTTGATATTTTGTTCAAAGATATTTTGCAGTAATTTTTATTTTTGAAAAGACTGTATTAAAATTATTTCTCTTGATTACTGTGCTTGTTCTTGTCCCCTTAAATCTCATACCCCACGTGAGCGTCTCACCCTGGTCATATTTTTTTTGAGTTGGGGTCCCACTGTGTCATCCAGGTTGGAGGGCAGTGGCATGGTCATGGCCACTACAGCCTCAACCTGCTGGGCTCAGGTGATCCTCCTGCCTCAGCCTCCCAAGTAGCCGGGACTACAGGTGCATGCTGCCATGCCTGGCTACGTTTTTTGTTTTTTTTTTTTTTATTGTTTATAGAGACAGTGTCTCACTATATTGCCCAGACTGATCTTGAAATCTTAGGCTCAAGTGATCCTCCTGCCCTGGTCTCCCAAAATGCTGGGATTACAGGTATGAGCCACTGCACCAGGTCTTATTCCGTCTTTTAAATACTTACTTTTCATCTGTTTTGTGATACTCCTTTACACTCTAACAGTATATATGTATGTATGTGCATGTATGCATATGCATGTGAGTCTATATGTGTGCTCAAATGTTCTTACTTGATGGGCATGCAGACCACCGTTGCTCTGAATAAACGGGTAACTCATGCTGCCTCTGATGAGACCTGTGAACCTCAGCCGACAGCAGCTGCATTCACTCTCCCATTGGGTCCTCATGGGAAACCTGGTGGGGGAGGTCTATACCTATTTTTCAGATGTGAAAACTGAGCCCCAGAAAGGTGGGGTGACTTGTTTGAGGCCACATGGCTTGCAAGTGGCAGCTCTGGGTCTGGACTCCTGACTCTTCGAGCAAAGCGGTTAAGAGCACAGGGCTGCACCAGACTATCTGGGGACAGACCCTGGCTCCAGCACTAACCTTGAGCATGTTACCTGATCTCTCTCTAGGCCTCAGTACCTTCAGCGGTACGCTAGGAATAAATAGCCCTGCTTCAAAGGGGAGGTGGAAGAATTCAATGCACAGTTGGTGCCTGGCATAAAGTAAGCACTCAATAAATGCTGGCCAGAGGGATAATGCCCCCAGGGGCCCGCCCACAGGGCCACCCCACTCTGTGCCCTCGAGTGGCTGGTTGAGACACTCACGGCAGAGGCGTGGGGTTCGCCAGTCGATGGCCACCCCGTGTTGGCAGCACTGGTGGGCATAGGCAGAGACGCTGGCACAGAAGCACTCACAGTCGCCACCCCGGCTGCACCCACAGGTGTCCGTCAGGCAGTTTGAGTAAAACCAAGTGACATCGACCTGAGGAGGTCAGGAGTCAGAGGTCAGAGGACAGATGCCCAAATGCGTTAGCCCTGCAGCTTTTCAGATGAGGGCCACCAGCACTGACATGAAGGGACCATAGGGTGAGCTGCCCCATCTCATGGGGCATGAGGGGAAGAGGCAGCCAGCTCTGTAAGAAACAAGGGCTCCGTGGCCCAGGCAGACACCCGCTTTTGAGAACGAAGGCTTCTCCTCCCCTGAGCCTAGGCTGTGTGATCCAAGGGCTGAGGAAGTGGCTAGGAACAGAAGCAGAGTTGGAACCACACAGTCTGGGCCGGGGACAGCCAAGGTCAGTGTGAGGGTGTCCTTCCATGCCATGCTGTGTGCCAGCCTCTTCTGTGACCGATGAGGCAGAATGGGCAAAGGCAGTCGGTAGTATGAGGGCTTTGGGCTCGCTATTCAGAAGAACTTCCTCATAAGGAAGAGCCAGGCTAAGATGGGCATGAACAGGGCACAAACTCTGTCCAGCTGTCTGCCCTGGTCATGTGGGGAAACAGCACAACATATCCGAGCAGTCTGGAGGCAGGGGGATGACAGAGGTGACTTTCCCCTCTAGGTGCCTCTTCCGAGACATGGGGGAGTCTGGGAGTCAGAGGGGGTCGGGAAGGGCCAGGTTGGGTCCACTCACCACAGGGTGGCAGGTCTCAAACACCTCGCTGAGCAGGATGCTGCACTCTTTCTTGGCAAACGGCTCTCGGAGAGGATTCAGGACACATGTGTCCCGGGGGTCAAGGGTATCTGGGCACTGAGGGTCAAAGGCAAAGATGCTGGCCTCCCTCCTCCCTGAAATGCCTGTTGCCTGGTATGGCAGACTCTGAGGGTGGCTGCCATGCTCCCACCTCCTGGTATTCATGTTCTTTTATAATCCCCTCCCCTTGCAGGTAGGAGGGATCTAAGACTTGCTCCAACATGGCCAAGGTGCCAGGATGGACGTGGTCACGTGACTACGATATATAACACTGTAGAACCCATCTTGCTGGTGTATCTCCCTTGCTGGCTATGAGGGAGCCAGCAGCCGGGAGCCATAGTGAGGGCCCCCACATGGCAGGAAGTGCCAGAGGGCTCTAGAAGCTGAGGGTGGTCTCTGGCCAAGAGCCAGGTAAAAAAACCCGAAGCTCTCAGTCCTCCAGGAGCTGAGAGCTGCCCACAACCACTGGAGCAGGTAGGAAAATAGCTCCTTCCCCAGTTGAGCCTCCAGATGTGAGCCAGGCCCTGATTGACACCTTGATCGCAACCTTGTGAGACACTAAGCAGAGAACCAAATTAAGCCATAGAAACTGTGAGATAATACATGTGTGTAGTGCAATGCTGCTAAGTCTCATAATATTGCTGCACAGCAAGAGGTAACAAATACAGATTTCCCCAAAGTCTGCTGAGTCTTCTTCCTCAGGCCCTGTTATGGTATGCCCAAGGAGATTAGCAAAGAGAAATATGATATGGGGGGAAAAACAAAGGTTAGTCACTCCTAACCTTTACTTCTCTAAAATGGGGGTGGCTGAAGGCAGGGTTCTCCAACTTCTGGGGTGTGAACCGGTACCTGCCCATGGCCTATATTAGGAACCAGGTCACATAGCAGGGGGTGAGTGGCAGGCGAGGGGAGCTCCACCTTCTGTTAGATCAGCGGTGATATTAGATTCTCACAGGAGCAGGAACCCTGCTGTGAACTGCGCATGTGAGAGATCTAGGTTGCGTGCTCCTTATGGTGATGTAAGGATCTAATGCTTGATGATTCCCCCGCCCCCCACTTCCCTATCCCATAGAAAAACTGTCTTCCATGAAGCCAGTCCCTGATGCCACAAAGGTTGAGGACCACTGGCCTAGGGCACACGTTTCAGAGGCTGTGGGAACATTCTTTCCCACCCCACGATTACACTGAGCTCCAGACCATGCCCAATTAACTGCTCCCCCTAGCCCAGTCCACACGGGTTTATTTCCATTTGCTCCCCAACAGAGCATTAAGATCACTCAGTGCAGAAAAGGCAAATAGCAACACTCATATCACCTCTTTCCACTCCCCTGGCAGACATAAATAATCGATCATAGTTCTCCTTCACACTGAGCTTAACACAAGTCTTGGATGCTTTTCAACACTCACACAGCTCCCAGACAGCCTCTCCTGACTGACGAGTTGGCACAGGAAGTGAAATCCACTCATCCCTCTCCTGGCACAGTCCCCTCATTTCACACAGGACCATAAAGAAGGTGGGACTTACTTGAGGTCACCCAGCACATCGATGGATGGTCCAAGACAAGAACCCAGGTGCCCTGCTCTCAATTCAGGGCTGTTTCCCCCACAGTTCATGGCTTGGCAGCCTCAGTCAGTACCTCCCACACCTCAGGGCACGCCCTTCATTTCTGCTTCTGCTGTGTTGTCCTTCCTCTCAGAGGTCTTCTCTCTGATACATTTATCTATTTAAATATGGCCTGTCCTTTAAGCACCAGCACCAGTGCCACCTTCTTCAGGAAGCTTTCTCTGGTTGCCTCAACCCACATGCGTCTCTCCTGGTGTCTCCTCTGTGCCTGACCTAGTACCAGGCACTAGGTGGCACTGAGATGCATAAAAAGGTCATGCTCAACAGCCTCACCTACTCCAGGTGACCATCTTTCCTGAAACAGAGGCTTTGTCTCCTTCCCAAACCTCCACCCTCCACCAAGGCTTGGTGCAGAACAAGGTGAGCAGCTGGATTTGTGAGACTGGATGATGTATATCCTCAGGCCATAGGACAGAGTCTAGGCCCAGGGATGCTGGTCAGAGGCTGAGAGAGCATCGCTGGAAGAGCCTCACACTGGTGGTGTCCCTCTTCCTTGACCAAGGCTGGCAGTGCCCATCTGAGGGAGCAGTGTGAGCCCACCTGAAAGGATTTACCTCAACTGCAGCCCAACTACTGCCGAACTCCTGGGGGTTAGTTAGCTCCAGGTTCTCTGGGGATCTCATCTCATTGATGGTTTTTAAGTCAAAGTTCCCACAAAGTCCCGTCAGCTGGCCCTGGAAGGAAAGAGGATACCGCAGTTAGTTGCAGATACTCCAGGGGCAAGCCATGGGCAGCGGGGTCACCATGAGCCCAGGAGTCTGTCATGGACCCAGAAACAACTGCTGAGGTCACAGTTTGAAGAGGGATGGGTGGTACCCGAGACGGGCACACAGCGGGTTGGAAGTTAGGACAGAGGCATGCTTCCCTTGACTCCCCAGCGAGGGCACAGCTCACCCAAGGACACTTGGAGGCATGGCTCAGCCCCAGGCAGGAGTAGAAGCTGGTGAGAGTCATGTTCAAGGACTACCTGCCACTGAGGCCCAGCCTGGACATGCACGGTGGTTCTCTGGTCCCACAAGAGGGTGATGTGCTCCCTTGGGAAGTGTACCAGTGTGAAAAACCCGGCTTGCCACGTGTGGACCTCCTGCTTGTCATCCAGGAAGCTCTCGGGACTCTAGGGGGACAGAGATGGTCAGTCCTGAGGTCCGAGTGCCCCCAGCATCTGGGTCAGCTGGGGTCTGGCTACAAGTCCCCGCTCAGCCCCAGATCTTACTAACACCTCTGCCTCCTCCCTCATGACCTGACATTAGCCTTTGTGTTCCTGACCCTAGCCAAGGAATTCAGTCTGGGCTCCCACCTCAGTGGTGCTCCCAGAGAAACTGCCAGGGTAAGGAAACCAGTCCTGAGCTCCCTTCTACCCCTGTCCCGGAAGCCTGTAAATTGTCTATACAACCTTCTCTGGCACCGGGCCTTACTGGATTTCCTGAGTCGTCATCAAAGACGATGAGTGAGTTCCCAACGTTGATGGAAATGAATTTTCTGCAGATGATGCCAGAACTGTAGCAGTTCACATTCTCCACAATCACAGAGAAGCTGAGATCTGTCGTGCTCTGAGGAGAAAATAGGTGAGTCCAATAAAACTGAAGAGAGGAGAGATTCTGCTGGAAGGACAGAGGAAGTGGGACTCTGAAGTGGTTTTCAATCCACTTTTACTTCTCATTAGCTGTGTGCCTTTGGACAGCTTACAGTTCTCTGGAACTCAGTTTCAGTTGTGGATACCTTGTGCTGTGCTTAGCATGTAGTGACTCTCCCTAAAGGATCTGATTAATGAATGTACTAATTAACATGTGAAAAGGATGGTTGGTGTTAACAGGGTGTGGGAAAGAGCCACCGTCTCATACTCACCCTTGGTGGTAGGTGAGCCTTTTTGGAGGGCAATTTGCCAGCACTGAATGTTTTAAAAGCACATAACTTTTTGTATGGCAATTCCAGGTCTATGAACCTAGAGATACATCCACAGTATTTGCTGCAGCATCTAGGTAGTGGAAACAATCTAAATGTCCACAATGGGAAAAAAGTAAAACAAACCAGAGAGCATCATTTCTGCAGAATTCTACACAGCTATTAGGAAGAAAAAGGAATGTACTGACTAGATGAAATAATATCCCGGGTATACTACTAAGTGAGTAAAAGTAAATTGCAGAATCCTACTCATGCAACTCAATAAAATGCATGCTGTGTGTGCCTGTGTGTGTGTGCATGCCTGTGTGTATGTGTGTGTGCATGTGTGTGTCTCATGAAAAATGGCTTTAGCAGGATTCACCCCGAGTGTTCTGAGCAGCTATTCAACAGGAGACGGGAGCAGAAGAGATGTGAGGGGAAGATTTGGTTTTCAATGTATATTTGTATATTATTTTAAATAATGATGGGGAACATGCATTCCCTTAAAATTTGAAAAAATAGAATAAAATGAGGTCAATAATCTTTATATGTGAAGTTTTAAGGTTATGAAAAAGACCCCAGTACAGTACCAGTCCCCACAGAGAGATTTTCCTCCATAAAAGGTTTTGTCATTATTATTATTGCTGCTACTCTATTTTCACAGGCTCTTAGTAAAACTAAGGTCCCCTGGGTGAGTCTCTGACACTCCCTGCATGCTGCCTCCTGGAGGGACCCTGCCTCATCTTGCCCCCCACATCACCAGTCCCCTTCCTCCGGGTGAGCCGATGACTTTAACACATGAGTCCTGAGTGCATTAACTCTCCCGTCAGACTTCTCAGTCACACCTGACCCAGCTCTACCACTGGCTAGCTGCGTGACCTCGGGCAGGTTCCCCTAAGCCCAAGTCACAACACCTGTAGCATGGGGTTCATAAACCTTACCTTGTAGGGTTGCTATAAGAATTAAGTGAAATAATCCACAAGAATGGCTCAGTAGATGCCCAAATATATAACGAAATCTCAAAAAGCATTCGCTCTTAATATTATAGGCAGAAAAAGCATTGGGAGCCGATAGGGCAAGGTGATGGTAGTGAGTGGACAGGCAGTGGGTGACAGAGGACCGGTGAGCTCCATCCAGCCCTGAGCTTCGCACTCCTCAGCACTTCCTCCAGTCTAGACAGACCATCTCAGGGCCTAGATCCACCCCTGTTACCCAATTATGCATCAATCTGGGACCCCGAGCATCAACAAACCCTGACAGGTCCTCAGTCCTGGCTGGGTAGCCACATCCAAGAACTCACCTTGACCAGGTGCACCTTGCATGCCCCCACGAAGTCAAATGGGAGCCCGTCAAACGTGCGGTAATGGCGGTCACCATAGGCAGTGCAGGTGGCGGCGCAGGGATGGAGGGTGCACTGGAACGAGCCCCGCTGGCACATGCTGAAACACACGCCCAGACCAGCTCGCAGGGCACGCTGCCCCGGGACAGAGCCGCTGCCTACTGAACACACACTGCATGCCCCCGTGCAAGGGGGTTGATGAACATTGTCACCCTCCAGCAGGAGCCTGGGCTGATTTTATGAAGGCGTGTGACACCGAGGCTCAGAGGGGTTGAGGGACACACATGCAATAAACGATGGAGCTGAGATTTCACCCATATCTATCTGACTCCAAAGTCCACATTCTCGTAACCACTCCATTCATTCATTGAACCATCCATCCAACAAATATTAAGCGCCTACTATATCCCAGGCATTATTCCAGGAGTTTGAGAGACATCCGTGAATAAAACAGAAAAAAGCCTCTGCCTTGTGAAATTTATATTCTAGAGGAGGAAAATATACACTAAATAATCATAAAAGAATAAAGGAAGAGGGAGTAAGTACATAGTGTGTGAGAAGGCAATGAGTGTGGATACAGGGGGCTAGGAGCAGGAAGCGAGTTACAGTTTAAACAGGATGCATGGGGACAGGTGAGCAGAGACTTAAAGGAAATGAGAGGTTAGCTGTATGGGCATCTGGAAGGAGAGTATTCTCTGAACAGAGGGCATGGTCTTTGCTAAGGCCCTGGGGAACACTCAGGAGACAGCATGGCTAGTGTGGAGCATACCAGGGCTTGAGAGAAGAGAAATTCAGAGGGGTGAGAGGTCATGGAGGGCCTGAGAACATGGGTCCAAGAAGGCCACTGTTGGCCCTTGCTAGGAATGAGAAACGGAGGCATTGGAAGACCCGATCCTGGGAATGACATGATCTGATCGATGTCCCACTCTGGCTGTTGCGTGAAGCCTAAGCTGAAGGGGGCTGAGGCATGGCAGAAAGACCCATTGAGAGGTTTCTGCAGTACCTTGAGGAAGAGCTGGCTGTTCAGAGTAAGGCAATGGCAGTGGGAGCTGGGAGAAACTCTCTGATTCTGGATATACACTGAAGGAGAACCAAAAGAATCTGTAGGCAGCTTGGAGATGGGTAGTGACAGAAGACTCAAGGATGATGCCAGGTTTTTGGCCTGAGCACCTGGATGAACAAAGTCTTCATCAACTCAGATGTGGAAAGCTGAGGGAGAAGCAGGGCTGGGGGGAAAGATCAGGCATTGGGTTTTGGACATCCTGAGCTGGAGGCATCCATTAGACACACAGGTGGTGATGACAAGTAGGTGGTTGGGTGTGTGAGTCTGGAGTTCAGAAGAATGGTCTGGCCTACAGGTAGATATCTGGGAGGCGTCTGATGCTGGGTGGGCCTTGGAGCCACAAGACGGGGGAGTTCACCAAGGGAGAGGGCATCAATACAGAAGAGGTGCAGTCCCATGGGCAGCTCTAGCAGTGAGCGGTAAGAGAAGAGGAAGAACCAGCAAAGGAAGCTGGGAAGGAGCAGGAAGAGAGGTAGAAGGAAAACCAAGATTGTGGTGTCCCAGAAGCCACAAGAACAAAGCTATCAAGGAGGAGAGAATGGCCCACAGTTATCAACCGTGTCCAATGCCACTCACAGGTCTAGGATGTCCAAGAAATGGACAGAGCAACATGGAGGTCACTGGTGACCTTGGTAGGAACAGTTTTGAGGGAAAATGCCTGGCTGAATGGGCTTGAAGGAGAGCAGAAGAACAGGAACTGGAAACAGCAAGTATAGACAACTTGTTTGAGAAGTTTTACAATAAAAGGCGAGCAGAGAAATGGAGCAGTTGCTAGGAGATTGGAAGTGTTTCAAACCACCCTTTTATGCAATGGGGATGATCCAGCAGAGGATGGCAAATAGATTCCTTGGGAGGGAGGGGAAGAGTGCTCTAGTGACACCCTTGGATGGGTGCAGGGCTGAGAGCTGGATTACAGCGAAGGCCTGGTGATAGACAGGGGCACAGACAATTCACCTCTGGCACAGGTGGGAAGGCAGAACACGTGAGTGCAGCGTCCCCAAACTGCTCTTCTGACAGCTTTCATTTTCTCGGTGAAATAGCCAGATCTTCAATTCCATTCCCATGAGAGGAGAAGTGGCAGGGCTTTGAGGAGCGAGAAATATGAAACAGGAATCCAGGGATCGAGAGAGCAAAGGAAACCAAGGAGATACAGTACAGGCCCATTTGCCAGATGGGCCTTTCTGACATCTGAGTCATGAATTTAAAGTGACAGCGGGCAGCGTGGCTTTACGCATCCCTCCAACCACATCCAGCTGCGTGGATGCAGCTACAGAGGAAGTCAAGGGGTGGAGTCGCCAGGGCTGTGGATCTGCCAAACAAGTAGGCCAGAAAACTGAGTCTGTATTCAAGGAAGTGATGACAGTGTAGGACCATAGACTCTGGCAAAAGGGAAGACCGCAAGAGGGTGTGAGGCGGTGGTTAGAAATCTCCCTGGGGTTGCAAGACTGGGGGAGACAGGGTGCCAGAGGGAGTAGAATGGAAAGAAAAAGGTAAGGTGAGACGCATGAAATTGGAATATGGGCTGGCTGAGTGATGGGAATGTCAGGGTGACCTCTCACTCCACTGGGGTGGAGAAGGATCATCAGAAGAGAGAGGGTAAAACAGAGATGCCTGGAGTTACTAGAAGCATCTCTGCACAGACACTGAAGGCTCCGAGAATTAGGACAGGAGGAGAGTAGGAGAGTGACAGAGCCCAGAGCTAGACCCTTCAGGAGTGAAGAGTGTGATGGTGACCAGGGGTTCCACGTATGTCAGCAACAATGATGTCTCTCCAACCACACACTGTATACACACTTGGTCATGCACTGACTCCATGGCTTCCCAGGCTTGTATACACATCCAGTCGCACACCCACCTGCGTGACCTACAACTCAGCGATAAATACAGTGCTGTCAACACTCCCACCGTGGCTGACTTCCTGCTGCCAATGTGACATCACCAAACACGGAGTTGGGAAGAGATGGGCGGCCAGTCCCTATCCCAGTAAACAGATCCCAGCAAATGCTCGAACTACACCAGCCTGGACACACCTCCGGCACCTACCTTCCCACAGACAGCAACTGGAATGTGTGCCACAGTGGCATGTCCTTCAGGAGAGAATGTTGAGGTCTGTCCATGTACAAGGAGGGTAGACTTTTAAAACTGATTTAAAAAGTAAAAATGTGCCCACATAGCTCCCAGTCTTCTATGGGAGAGAGGACACTCGCTCTGTAGCCAGAAGCCTCTTCATGTCAGAGTTCCTGATCCTAAAAGAATTCCAGCTCCTCGGCCCTGGCTCCAGACTCTCCACTACCTTCTGCCTGGCACAGTGTGCTCACAAGAGAGGATTCAACACAGCTCAGCTATTGCCTGCCCACAGGTGGGGGTGCTGGTACAGGGGCTATAATCCAGGAAAGTGACAGAAGTCAGTGCCTAAGCCTGAGCACCCCTGAGTGAACCCAGGACAGTCAGTCATAATCTCTTGCCACATACAAAGGGAGGCCCCCCAAAAAACCTGGAATGTAATTATTAAAAATTGTATATTTATTCTTACATACTTAAACTTCAGTCACCTTCAAGTACTTTTTGATTGATGCAATACACCTAATGAGATGCTTTTTGCACTGCTCAACCCAGTTTTTGAACTTGTCAATTTTGATGCCTTTTAGTGCTTCTGTCATTTTTCATTTCACCTCTGCTGCATGGGCAAAATATTTCCCTTTGAGGACTTTTTTATCCAGAGAAACAAAAAAGTCACTAGGGGTGAGACTGGGTAAATTGGGAGGGTATGGGGGACATGCCGCTTTTGGTCAAAAACTGCTGAACACTCAGCATGGCATGGGCAGGTGCACTCATAAATTACCCATAATGAAATGGGCAAATGCATTGAAAAAAATCTTCAAAAAAAATTAACTGAAGCTGAACACAGCCTCTTACAACAATGCTAGTTGGCACACTGATGCTAATGGATTCCTAGAACTCTTACCTAGTGGGGGGAGCCTGTACTACAAGAGGCCCACCCTCCAGAAGATAACTGATTTTTTAGGGGATTTCCCCTCTTGTACACCTTGCAACCCTGGTCAACTCTGGTTCATCACAGTCATGAAATCCCATAAACACTTGCTCACACAGCTTGCACAGAGTGTTGCATCCTGACACGATACCCAGGGACTTCTGGGGTCAGACAGCCAGGGCTCTAACCCTACAAATATACCTTGATGTATCTGGGAAAACCAACCATGGGGTGGATGGTCTTGACTGTGACCCAGCAGCTAACATGGAAAGAAATGCTAGAGCTATCCTCTCGGCCAGAGAAACAGGACAGTTTCAACTCCTGCGTGGAGTAGGGATGGGGCTATGCTCCAGCTGGGTGGCTGGATCTCCAAGTTGGAGCCTCTTTGAGCTTCTCTGCTGGGCCCCAGGCCCCAGGGCCAGGTGTTCCCTGCTCATATCAGGCTCTCCCTGGTTGGTTCTTGACACGGAACAGTGACCAAGTTTGCTCTCCAACATCAGGGCCCTAGTTTATCACTTCTTACTCTCTCCACCAATACTCATTCCATCAGAAGGCTGAGTCTACCCACTGCCTACACCTGCTGTGAGGCCCAGAATCGGCCTTGTAGTATTGGCCCCTAAGTCTGTCTCTGGAGAATCAAGCCCAGGTGCACATGCTCCCACATATAAATATTTAAATTACTGAACACGCACATATACTCACCTATATATTCACTTCATGTGCAGGAATGTACCTATTCATAGGCAAATATGATACACACTTACACATTTTCACTCACATGTGAACACAAATAAGTACAGCCAATACACACAGGAACACATACTAAATGAATCCAGGTGCACACTTATATGAATATACCTGTATACCTACATGAATTCCTAATTGTATATATTCAAGAACATATTCAGATTTGTGAATGTCTGCCTTTTCATAAATACCATGTACATGCACATTCACATGTGCATTTGAATTGGCACCCACACTCATTTGGTCATATAAACGTGCAAACAATTGTCAGGATTATAAATATGCATGCACACACATTTATATACATGTCTGGACAAATTCACATTCAAGTAAATACAAAAAATATTCTAAAATATGCTTTTGTGTGCACACACTTGTATATGTACACAAACCCCTATGCAACACACAACACACAAGCATGCAGCATGAACACAAACATGGCAGAAGGAGAATGCTAGACTATACTCATGATGGTGCATCCCATATCCCTGACACTCCCAGCAAAGAAGCAGAGCCTGCTTGGGGCCCTCACTTACCAGGTATGGCAGGGAGACATCACCTGGTCCCCAGGGAAATACTCCTTCCCCTTCCAAGTGCATGGGCACTCCTCTGGCAGGAAGCATGCATCTCCGTGTCTGAGCAGCCTGCAGGGACATGGCAAGCAAGTGGTTAGGGGAGAGTATCCGTCCCATATGGCCATCTGTAGAGGATCCTGCATCCACATGGATGCTCTAGGGTGGCTCTTAGCATTTACCCTAGAAGAGACTGGCCATGTACCCACTGCCCAACCTGCTGTTGCCCAATGAGGTTCATAGGCACACTGGTAACTGGGAAAAATAGGGACAGACTAGGTCCAGCTCAGAAGTCTGTGCCATTCATCAGGAAGGCTTAGCTCTACCTGCTACACATCCCCCCACCCCTGGTCAGGCAGATGCCAATTGCTCCTTAGGCCCTAGCTGTATGCTAATGAATGGACCAATGGACCTCTTATTTGGGTTGTTCATGGAGCGTTTAGACCACAGGCCCCAAAGCTATAGTGCTCACACCTTCTAGTCTGGTTTCCATAACATCTGACCCACTTAAACAGAATACGCGCGTGCGCGCGCGCACACACACACACACACACACACACACACACACACACACACACACACACATACACAGGCAAATGATAGTCAAATTGCTGACAGTGATAACTAGAAAATTTTTAAAAAACCAAGACATATTATGTAACAAGAGAATCAGGATAGACATTAAACTGGTGAAAGAAAAAAAATTGTTAACTTAGAATTCTATATGCAGTGAAAGTATCTGTGACAGTTAATTCTAGGTGTCAACCTAACTGGATAAAGGGATACCCAGATAGCTGGTAAAGCATTTCTGGGTATGTCTGTGAGGGTGGTTCTGGGAGAGATTGGCATTTGAGTCACTGGACTGAATAAGGACCTAATTTCGCCCAACGTGGGTGGGCATTATCCAATAGGCCAAGGGCCTGGATGGAACAGAAAGGTAGAGAAAACATGAATTCTCACTTCTGAAGGTGGGACGCCCTTCTTCTCTACCTTAGACAGAAGAACTCCATGTTCTCTGCCCTTTGAACTCCAGGACTTGCACCAGTACTTCCTGTCCTCACACTCAGCTTCTCAGACCTTTGCACTTGGGCTGAGCTACACTACCACGTCCCTGGTTCTCCACTTTGAAGATGTCCTGTTGTGGGACTTTTCTGCCTTCATAATCATGTGAACCAATTCCCCTAATAAACCCCCTCTCATAGATCTGCAGCTATGTCTATAACTAGATACCTTACTCTCTGGAGATCCCTGACTAACATAGTATTCTTCATACATTAAGGTAAAATTAAGACATCTTTAAATAAACAGAAAGTTTTAAGAATTGGTCACCAGTAGACCTGTATTAAAAGAAATGTTAAGGAGAGTTTTTCAGGAAGATGAAAATTTAAATCCATATGAGTGAATGAATGCAGAGCCCTCAAAATGGAAAATTTCATGGCCAATATTTTAAAAACTGTTTCTTAATTCCCTTAAGAGGTAAATGGTCATTTAAAGCAAGATTAATATCAATGACTTGCAGGGCTGATACCATAAGCAGAAATAAAATGCATAGCAATAAAAGTACAAAGAACAAGAAGGAAGCCAATGCAAGTGTACTGTTGCAAGTATTATCCATAAAATGGAAAAAGATTAATTCATGGCAGATCACACTAAGGGAAAGATACATATTGTATCTTTAGAAAGTCACAAAAAATAAATACCAAGATGTATAGTTAAAATAAAATAAGGAAGATAATATAGAATATTTAAAAATAACCAAAAGAAGGCAGGAAATAAAAAACAAAGGATAGGACAAACAGATAACAAATAACAAGATGGTAGTATTAAAATCAATCCAATGATATTAAATGCAGAGATATACACACTTCAATTAAAAGACAGAAACTATAATACTGGCTTAAAAAGCAAGTTCCAACTCTATTCTGTTTACAAAAGATATAACTAAAAAGATAGATTTTAAAGTAAAATGATGGAAATAATAACAGGCAAATGCTAATCATAAGAAAGATGGAATGACTATATTAACATTAGACAAAGTAGACTTCAAGACAAGTAGAATTACCAGCAATAAGGAAAGTTATTTCATAACACCGAAAGGGCCAACTTACCATGAAAACATAACAGTTCTAAATGGGTATGCACCATTAACAGAACTTAAAAAAACAAGAAGAAAAAACTTACAGAACTCAAAGAAGAAAGAGACAAATCTCCAATTACAGTTGACGATTTCAAAACTCATATCCATTAATGAGGGAACAAATAGGAAAAAAAAAAAAAAAGACCATTAAAGATGTAAAGAATTTGAACAACTCTAACAATGATCTCAACCTAATTGACAACTAAAGAACTCCATTCAGTAACAGCAGAATGCACATTATTTTCAAGCATAATGGGAAACTCACCAAGGCAAACTATATTCTAGGCCATAAAAAACTCAATAAATTTCAGACTTCAACTCATACAAAGTATATTCTCTAACCACAATATAATTAAATTAGAAATCAGTAACAAAGAAATATAAGAAAGATCCCAAATATTCTAAAATTTAGGAATATTTCAAAGGAGCCCATAGATCAAAGAATAAATATCATGAAAGAAGTTATAAAATACTTAACAGAAATAATGAAAATAGACATCAAAATGTGTGGCGTGCAGTTAAAGCAGTGCTTAGAGGGAAATTTATAACTTTAGATGTTTAGAAAAGTAAGAAGGGATTAAAATCAAAGCTCTAAGGTAGAAATGTAAAAACAAATTAAGTCCAAAGTAAGTAGTAGCAAATTAAGTCCCAAGTAAGTAGTAAGAAAGAAATAAAGATAAGAACAGAAATCAGGGAAATAGAAAACAGAATAACAGTAGAGAAAAACCAGTGAAAACAGAAGTTGGTTCTTCAAAAAGACCAATAAAATTATCAAAGCCAAGGTTAGACTGAATGATAAAAAAAGGGGGAGGATACTCAAATGATCAGGAACAAAGAGGAGACAGTGCTATAGATTCAATCGATTTTAAAAGGAAAATAAGAGAATATTAAGTACAATGTTAAACCAATAAATTTGACAACTTATATGGAATAGACAAATTCCTTAAAAGAAACAAACTATGAAAGAGAAAATAAGTAAGTTGAATAGCTTAATATCTTTAAAGGAATTGAAGTTTAAAAACCTTCCCAAACATTTAAGGAAGAAATAATATCAATTTTAAACATACTCTTCCAAAAATTGAATTTTTTTTTTACTTCCCAACTCATTTTATAAGGCCAGTATTTGCCTGATACCAAAATCAAAGAAAGACATTGCAAGTAAAGAAACCATAGACCAATATTCCATGCACACAAAATATCAAATAATACATAAGTCATAACTGGGGCTTACCCCAGGAATATAAGGTTGGCTTAACATTTAAAAATCAATAGATATAATTGACCACATTCATCAAATGAAGGGGAAATATCATATGATGTTTTGATACATAAAATGAAATGATACATTTCAACACTCATTTATTATAAAAATTTTCCACATACTAGATATAAAAAGAAACTTCCTCAATCTGTTATAGGACATCTACAAAAAAACCTATAGCTAATATTATAATTAATGGTAGAAGTCTGACTGGTTTACTCTAAAACAAAGAAAGCAATTATTTTCACTCCTACCATTTCAATTCAGAAGTGTATATTGTAGGTACAATTAAGCATAATAAGGCAAGAAAAATATGAGGCACAAAAATTAAAAATGAAAAAGCAAAACTGTCTTTATTCACAGATTACACAGTCACTTACTGAAATCCTAAAGAATTTATTTTTTTAAAGCCACTAGAACTAATAAATAAATTTAGCAAGATGGAAGAATACAAGGTCAGTATGTAAACATCAATTGTCTTCCTATATTGTAACAATAAACAAGCGGAAAATTAATAAAATAATACCACTTATCAACAAAAATATCAAATATCTACAAATAAATTCAATGACAAGTGTGCAAGACTTTTATGTAAACACTGAAACTTTGCTGAGAAGTTACAGCAAATGGAAAGATAATACCATATTTGTGGTTTGGAGGACTCACTGGTGTTAAGATGTCAGTTCTCCCCAAATTCATCTGTAGATACAACACAATCCCATTCAAAATACCAGGGTTGTTTTTGGTAGAGATTGACAAGATGATCCTAAATTTGCATGGAAATGCAAAGACCCAGAAGTGCCAAGAAACTTTTAAAAGGAACAAAGTTGGAAAACTATCACTTCTTGATTTCAAGTCTTCTTATAAAGCTTTATAAATCAAGACACTGGATATTGGTCTAAAGATAGATCAATAGAACAGAATAGAGAGTCTTAAAATAGACTCACATTTATGCAGTTAATTTTTTACAAAGATGCTAAAGCAACTGAACGAGGAGAAAAAAGTATTTTTTTAATGGTGCTCGAACCACTGGATCGCCATCAGAAAAAAATAAAATAGACTTTAATTCCATTGTGCAACATATACAAAATATAATAACTTTAGATAGATCATAGACCCAAATGTAAAAGCTAAAATTGTAAGGCTCCTGGAAGAAAACATAGAAGTATATCTTTGCAAACTTGAGCACTAATCATAAAGGAAGAAATGATAAACTAGACATCATCAAAATTCAAAACTTCTCCTTATCAGAAATTTTTAGACATTTTAAGGCATGTTAAATAAACAGAAACAGGCAAACATGTACTGGGAGAAAATATTTGCAATATACATATCTGACAAAAGACTTGTATCAGACTAAAGAATTTCTACAACTCAATTTTTTAAAAAATCATAAAAAATAGGAAAAAGACCTGAACAGACACATCACAAAGGAAGACATACAAATGACCAATAAGCATATGGAAAAGTACTAATCATCATGAGGGAAATATAAATTAAAATCATAATTAGATAGGACTATGTAGTCACTAAAATTACAAAAACGAAAGACTTGAAAACACCACGTGTTAAAGAAGTATACACTGACAATACATACACTGAGAGTGCAAAATTGTACAACCACATTGGAAAATAGTTTCCTATTTTGCCTGTGCCTTTTTCCAAGCAATTCTGCTCCTCCCCCCACCCCCACCCGCCAAACAACCACCGTTGTTCTGTTTCATTTCTGCGTAGAGAGGTTCTGCCTGTTCTAAAACTTCATGTAAATAGAATCACACAGTACCCTTTTGTGCCTGGCATCTTTCCTTAGCATATATTTTGAGGTTGATCCACAGTGTTGCATTAATCAGCAGTTTGTTCCTTCTTACTGCCCAGTAGTATTCCATGGTATGAATATACCGTTATTTATTAACTCACACAAATGCTGGTGGATATTTAGATTGTTTCCAGTTTGGGGTTACTTTGAATGAGGCTGCTATGTATTTCTCTTGGATGAACACTTCAGGGTGGAATTGCTGGGCCCTTAGGGGAGATTCATGTTTGTACAAGAAACAAACTATTTTTCCACGTGGTTGTGATTTGTTTCTCCCTGGCCTTCCCCCTGCTGTGCAAGGTCAGCCTGTACATCCACCCTTGTTCCTTCCCCAAAAACTATTGACCTATCTCAGGCCACTGTCGTTGCCACTCCTTTCTCTTTGTCCCCGGGGATTTACATCTTTTTATTCCATTATCATTTCATTGTGGTTGTGGGAGGAAGCAGGAAAAAAAAGCGTGTGCTTATCCATTATGTGTTTTACCTGAACCTTTTTAAGCCTTTAGTTGTTTTACGGGTAAAACGGGAATAATGACACCTTTGTCCCAAGGTCATTACAATAACTTAATTATAGGCCTGGGCATGCTGCCTAACACCTAGTAGATACACAGTAAATATCAGTCTCTTGTTCCTTCTTTCACCATAATTGCCTCAGACACCAGCAAGGGGCTGGCTCACTGCCCTCCACCTTCAGCACCAAGCCCTGTCTCTAGTCACTTCCCTGCTGCCCAACTTCCTTGCTCCCTGCCGGCCCTTAGCCGACCTGCTTGCATCCTGAACACCTACAGTGTGCCCACCACACGAAAGAACACACAAAGACCCAAGGCTTTGGTCTCTGCCCTCAAGGTGCCCTCGACTTGCAGAGTACCCTCTCCTTGCCTTATTAGGCACCTCTCCTTCCAGGGACCCCTCAGAAAATTCATTTATAAATGCATGGGATCCAGATGTGGAAAGACAGTGCTGTCTGCTCATATAGAATGTTAACTCTGTGTCATTTTACAGGTGAGGGAATTGAGACTCAGGGAAGTTAACTAACTCACCCAGGAAGTGGCAGAACAAGGATTCAAGCCTAACTCCAGATCTGTGCTCGTAACCACTGTGCCTCACTGCCTAGTGGCCCCAGGGCCACTGGCTCAGCAGCCAGAGGCAAAGAAATGTGCAAGGGCACAGACAGCCCTGGACTCCCACAGAGTTCTTTGGAAAGATACACAGCATCCAGAAATTCCTGGAGACACTGTGGAGAGGGGCATGGCGGCCACAGGGGTTGTTAAGGATGGTACTCAGACATCTTTGGGAGCCCTGTCCCGGCAAGAGGATGATACAAAATGCCTGCCCTTCCTTATAAATGGAGACCATAATAATTTCGCTGACGAGGCCTGTGGAACTGGGGCAAGCTACTAGTGGGCCTTTGACACAGCATACGACATCATTGCCAAAACTGAGCCTGGGGCCCAGTTCTCCCAGCCTCCAGTCCAGCATCCATTCCACTGGGCCTCTGTGGCCTTGCCACCACATGCAGCAGTGAGTAACCCTTGGGTCCCGAATGCAGGCTGAGAGGCAGGCTGTTTACACAAGAGGCTTCAATGACAGACACTCCTCACCAGTCCTCTGGGGTCTGGTTGGCAGCAGGCAGGCAGACCAAGGATCCTGGGCAGTTCTCTTGTGGATGCCCTTGCATGGGAAAGGGTAGGCGCATAACTCACATTATGATCTCTGTGTAGGGGACAAGACCCCAGACTTCACGGAGTCAGCATGCTCTGGGCCAGGGCAGGGCTTGGAGTAAGAAGACTTGGGTTTGAGTCATTATTCCTTGGGCAGACCACTTCCCTCCACCCAGCCCTGGTCTCAGTTTCTTTATCAGCAAAAGGAAAGAATGAGCCTTCTCTCTTTTCCCCCATGGCTGCTCTGAGATTGAAGGAGGTAATAACATCAAAGTATCTTATAAACAGTAAAGCTGTGACAGGCTCTCTCCTCCCTTCCCACTCTAGAAGCCCTAATCCCACCTCATTTTCCTTGACTGCCAGGTCTGAGCCAGGACTCACAGCTGACCACTAATCTCTAAGTAGGCTGGAGGGCAGAGTCCAGTGCTGCCAAGTCATGGGGTGAGGTACCTGACTGTCTCCTCATACCAGACCTGGGACTGAGAACGGGCAGTGCCAGGCCTTCAGCCACCTCAGGGCACAGAGCACACACAAGGCACATCATAAACTCGACTCTTGCAACTCTCACGCAGCTTTAATGGCAGCGTTTCAAGGACCCGGGAAAGAGACGGTTTTTCACTCTGGGAAGTAGGAATTTCTTTTTTGAGTGTTATAGGATGCCAGCCCTATACCTGAGAGCTCTGGTCAGAACTGGGCAGGGCATAAGGTTGAGAGCTGAAACCTGGGTATTCTCTCTCTTGGTTTTCAACCCATGGGACCACTGGAGTCTGCCAGATGCCCTACTCAGTAATTCCCTTCATGGGCCTCACTGAATCCTCATAGCAACCTGTGAAGGTGGTGAAGCTGATAGATGTTGTTATTCTTCCCATTTTACAGATGAAGAACCGAGCCTCAGCGAGATAAGGCCTTTCTCCACCCAAGGCCACATTCCAGGTTGGATCTCCAAGCTCCTGCTCTTTCCAGACTCCTTGCTGCCCATGATGGCCACCGCTGGCCAGCCCTGGGCTAGGGCCTCTCTGCAAGGCTATGGCAAGTTTCCCCTGTGGCCCTCGGTTCCACCAGCCTTCAGGAGTGAAAGACCATGAGGACATACCCCTGGGGACAGGCGCAGCCTGAGAGGCAGGGCCCGCGGGCTGGCACGCTCAGGTTCAGCAGCTGCTGCTCACATGTCCTCTCCCTGCTCAGCTCGGGGTCCATGTGCGGGTCACTGCAGTTCACAAAGACCTGGCCCGCTGGGCAGGCAACAGCTAGAAGGGAAGAGAGTGATGTTAGAGTTCTGGGACCTGGGTGGGCTCCCAGCTGCAGGGGCAGCAATTGGAAGATGTAGGGAGGTGGGCTTGGTGTCTCCCCATACCCTGGTTGCTCCTCAGATCTGCTTGGGCTCCCAGATGCATGTCACGTGGCGGCGGGGGGGATGCGTGCTGTTATGCACAGGGTCACTGCCACGCTCCTGCATTACCTTATTAACCCTGCAACAACTCCATGAGACATTATTACCCACTATTTTCCCATAAAATGGAGTGAGGCCACTTTTGCTCTCCAAAGGCATCATAAAGTGAGAGGAAGTACCCCCGAGGGAGCAGGAAAGAGGCCAGAAGGAGGACAGCCAAGCAGCATGGCAGGGTGGCCAGGGACTCTCCACAACAGTTTCCTGTTACATATATATTTGTGACATGACTCCTGAGTCTTCGGTCAAGTCCACCACACATTCATCCTTTGTGTGAGCAACGCTTTTTAGGGAAATCAGTAGAAGGATGCTGAAGTCCACATCTGACTGGGATGGAGCAGAGAGGAAGGAACAGCCTCAGGAGTGAGATGGAAGTCCCAAAGAGCCAGAGAGTTGAAGCCAGAAGAGACCAGAAGAAAACCACTTGCAGGGATATACACAAAACACAGGAGGCTGTGGGAACTAGGTTATATACAAGAGAACTGAAGGCTCAGTGAGGAGAAGTGAATTCTCCAGGACTGCACAGCTAGTGAGTGCCGGGCAGAATGAATCTAGGCCACCTGACTCTGGAGGCCCTGCTCTTAACCCCCTGCCACATGATTATTCTCCAATCCCATCTGTGCTGATCCCCATCTCTGGCAGGCTTCTCCTCCCGGAGGCCCTCCCTGAATGCTCCAGCCCCCACGCTCTACCCCTCTCCCAGCCCCTCACAGGCTGACCCGCCACCATTCTTCCCCACCCCCACATCCATTGCCTGGGAGTCTCAAAGGCTCAGGCTGTCCTCTCCATCTTTGTGACCCCACGTCCAGCACCGGGCTGGGCAGAACCAGCCCAGGTAGGTACGTGACAGCTCAGACGAAGGAAATCAGAACCCAAGGGTGGTCAAGAAACTGTCCAGATACCCCAGGTGGTTGCCCCGAAGGAGATGAAGTGTCGGCCTCTTCTCTTGAAAAAGGAGGGCCAGTCACGAGGGTGGGGCTGAGGTTGGGACAGGTTTTCAGGGTGCCACTCCCAAGGTGGACCTTTGCTAAGAGGGTAAGTGGTGTAGAAGGTCTATGTAGGGAAAAACCTGGGGCAGGCTCTCCCCTCCTGATCAGAGCACTCCCCACGTGCTTTTCCATACCTGCCACCAGTGGGCGCCCCAGGAGGGCCCCACCCTCCCAGCTGCCCTTACCTGGAGCTCTGCTGTCACAGTTCATGACTCCATCTTTGCAGTGGCTGCAGAGAGAGGGGCATCCTGGGGTTAGCCGACCTGTCACTGCAGGACCCAGACACCCGCATCACTGTGCTCGGGTCACCGCAGGGTTCAGGCAGACATCCTCACTGCTCCCCACTCCGTGCAGAGGGGGTTGCTGCGTGGAAAGTTCTGCTCGACCACATTGTCTCCAGTCAGCTGCTCCATTTCAAGAGAAGACAACAAGGCTGCCACCCAGGGAGCTCACCAGTGGCCCAGGGATGGGATGTCACTGTCTCCAGGGGGATAGTCCACTCCTTGGAAGTGGCAGGAGCACTGGTTCCTATAAAAATCAGGAATGGAGACAGGTAGGTAGGTTCAGGAGCTGGGCAGGGACTGCCAAGGACAGGGACCCCACCATCAGTCAGCCAGAGATGTAAGGACACAGAGAAGTAATGGCATCTCCTGTGACATGTGACACATCTCCAGGGAGTGGGAGAGTTGGACCAGCACCAGGGACAGAGGTAAGGGCTGGGTCCCAGAACTGAGGACATCCCTTAAGCTTACACAGAGCAGCCTCATCTGCCCTTTCTTTCCACAAATATTCACTGCCCTCCTAGGATGTTCTGGGCATTTTCAGGCTCCAGGAATTCAGCAATAAAGCAATCCTGCCTTCATGGAGCTCATATTCTAGGGGGCCAAGGCACATAATAAACAAATGACAGATGTGTAATGAGCCGGGTGGTAATAAGAGCTGTCAAGCCAACTCAGGCCGTGGGGGCAGTCTCCATACACTCCCAAAGCCAGCCTCGTTAGACCTGAGGAAGGGAGAGGCGGTAAGAATAAGTCCATGGCCGCCTGAGCCCATGCCCTGTCAGGGACAGGGCAGGTATTCAGCTGGTGTTTCATCCTGACACAGCTGCACTGGTCATTCACATCCAGGACCTATTCCAGTTGGTCAGTACGCATGCGGTCCTGGCTGCTAAATGCACTGACACAGGGCCACTGGCTAGGCCACACGGGATTCTGTAAGGTGAGGATTCCTATGCTGCCATCCACATCTTCTTTATAGGCCGTCTGTGTCCTCCTCACACAATTCCCATAGGACCTGCCAGTTCCAGGTATGGGCAGGTCCTGGAGTAAAACCATGAGCCATGACAGGACGTCTGAACTCCAATCCAGGGCAGCTGCACAATCTGCTCCCTCAACCTACTAACCCTCATGGACCCCTCTCTGATGCCAGTAATCAGCGTCAAGGTGAGTGAGGGAATCGCTGCACGTCTGGACCTCAAGGGAATATTCTGTAGCTTGAAAAGGCCTCCAAGGGACCCCTTCCAGGGACCTTTCTCCAGCTCCTACCACTTGAAAATCACCAGTGGAAAGTATGTAATTTTATGGATGGAGAAACAGAGGTCTAGAGGAGACCAAGGGCCTTGCCAGTTGCCCGAGGATTGTGTAGGGTCTCCTCCTCCCACTCTGCCCTCCACTGAGAACTCCTCCTCCATTCAGGCTCAAGTGTCCCCTCGGCCTAGAGCTCTCTTTCCTCACCTCCCTCAGGTCTCTGCTTAGACGTGCCCCGGCAGAGAGGCCTTTCCACCATGGGCCTCACACAACATACCCATGGCAGAACTTCCTGCTTGCTACCCAGTTTATTGCACGTCTGTTATTTATTATCTGTCTTGGATCCCTAGAATGTAAGCTCCATGAGGGCAAGATTGCTTTGTGGCTGAATTCCCGGAGCCTGAAAATGCCTGGGCCATCCTAGGAAGGCAGTGGAGATTTGTGGAAAGAGAGGGCAGGTGAAGGAGAGAGAGGCCCTCTGGACCCTGTGGGCTGTTCTGTCTTGTGGGAAGGTGGCTGGAGTGACCTGAAGAGGAGCCTGAGCTGAGGAGAGACCTGGGAGGGAAGGCCTGAGGAGGGAGCCCTCTGAGGAGAGGACCAGGTGGGAGACACCAAGGAAGGAGCCCACCTACCTTCCCCACCAAGGCCCAGCCTGCAACATGAATAGAGATACCAGAGGCCCTGCCAGGTTCCCCAGTCTCAGGTGTCCTGGAGAGTCCCGGTCTCACCTCTCTACTCAACTGAGGTCAAGCTGGCCCACTTACCTGGGGACACAGAAGTCGGCCTGGGTGTCCAGATAGGTGTCTGCTGGGCAGGCACAGCCCTCCACACACTCATCCCTGCTGAGGTCGCTGCCACCATCAACCCCACAGACCTCAGGGCTGGCCAGATCCTGGCAGGTTTGTCCACATGGGGCCACGCAGGGGCTGTACTCCTTGGTGGCCTCACAGGACAGTGCTGCAGTGGGAAAGTGAGCCATGTTTTGTCTCCCTCACCCCCCAACTGTGTGGGGGGTGAGCTGTCATCCTGATGAGGAGCACAGAGCCCCAGAGAAGTTAAGACAATTGCTCAAGGTTACACAGCCAGTCAAGGTCAGAGTTGGGACTGGAGTCCAGGTCTGACTCGAGTCCCCTTGCCTCTTACTCACTGGAATGAGCAACCCAGCAAGGGGTCCATCTACCAAGTTCAGCCAGGAAAACCATCAGTGTGTCCTTCTCCCCCAAAGGTATTTCTCTTAGTAATGAATTGGGCAAAGGGCGGAGGTTGCCAACCTTTTATGACCCTGCACCCACCCCATAACTCACACATAGATATTTCCATCCCCTCACCTCTGTGACTGTAACACACATGGGCTATAAACATCACCTGGGCTCTCTCTGGCAGCCTCCTGTCCCAGGACTCAGGGCTGCCCTCTCCTTATCTGGCCACCATCCCATCTTACCCTCCCAGGGGTCTCCCACACTCTCTCAGAGCCAGTGGACTCACTAAGACTGTCAACTCAGTTGTTCTCAATCCAGGCTTTTGGGAACTTTTAAAAATACTGATGCCGGGGTTCCCCTGCCAGCTATAGTGATACTGAATGGGGCCTGGGTGCTAGCATTTTTTAAAAGTTCCCATGATGATTCTAATGTGCAGCCAGGTCCTGTCCAATCATCTATGGGGAGGGAGACTTTGGTTCAGAGAGGGGCAGACACACAGCAAGTTACCTGCAGGGCTGGTATAGAACTCAGGTCTCCTGACTCCCTGCACTGTGCCTTTTTCATTTCTTCAAGAAACATCTGCTAAAAGCTTACTACAAGTCAGGCCATGTGCTGGAGGTGAGGTCACAGAGGTGACTAGGACATGAAAAGGAGTGTAGACCAGGGTGGAGGAGGGTGGGTAGGGGTAGCTCATGCCCATTAAGCCACACGTACATTCAACCCTGAGGGCAACCGAGCCAGTGATCTTGAGAAATCTCATTATGGCTGCCACAAAAGGTGGCTCCCACTTGGGTGGGGGAGGTGGCAGGAAGTGGGTGCATTTAGGATTCTCTAAGACAGGAATTGGAGATGGATTGGACATGAGGGTGAGAGAAGCAGTCCCGGGTGTCAGGTCTGGGTGACAAGGGGGTGGAGACCATTGGCAGAGATGAAGAGCACGGGAAAACAAGAAGGCTGGGGGGATGGGGGATAGTCAGGCTGGAGGAGACGGGAGTAGGGGGAGGAAGAGATGCCCCACTGAAGAGTTTAGACACTCGGGCCTGGAGTTCAGGCTCCCCCAGCCCACCCTCACGTGGGTTCCCAAGGGTGGGGCACTCACCACAAGCTGGCAGGCGGGCGCGGAAGTCGATGGGGAGCCCATGACGCCGGCACAGGCGGGCATAGTGGGCCAGCGTGGCACACAGGCAAGGCTGCCCGCAGCGGCACGCGTCCCTGCGGCACTGCTCGAAGTAGGGCACAGGACTCAGGAATGTGGAGCAGCGCGCAAACAGTTCCTCCATGAGCACACTGCAGGCCTGCACTGCGTAGGAGGCTGGAGCAGGAAGAGCAGGGCCAGGCGGTCAGGGGTGGGTCTGCCTGGTGCCCGGGGCTCAGCCTCTCCCTCCCTTTCTGTGGCTCAGAGGAGTGTGTGGGTCTGTTGTGTGTGCATGAGCGTGTGTGTGTGTGTTCATGCATTCACACAGTGCATTCTGACTCGTGCCAGGGGTGAACAAAACCGATAAAAATCTCTGCCTTCAGGGAGCTTCCATTCTGACCAGAAGAGGCAGTTGCTAAAAATGTATACAGTAAATTAAAAAATGAAGTCTCCAAGGAGGAAAATCTGAGGAAGGAGGATGGGGAGTGTGAGGCAGGACAGGAGGGGCAGTTGCAGTTTAGACTCGGGTGGTTAGGAAGGCCTCAGTGTGCAGTGACGTTTGAGCAAACATCTAGAAGTAAGAGAGGGAGGCATGCAGCTGTCTGAGGGAAGAGATCAGGAGAGGCGGTCGCAAGCACAGAGGCCTGCAGAGGATAGCGGTCCTGGTGGTGCAGGAGGAGCACCAGGGAGGCCAGTGTAACTGGGGCAGAGTGGAGGGCAGCAGAAGGAAGAAGTGAGAGAGGGAGATAGACAGAAGGTAGGGCCAGGGAGGACTTGGAATTTTGCCCTGAGACGGGGGAGCTGGCAAAAAGGCGTGTGTACTCACAGCAGTGAGACATGAAGCTGCCTGCCTGCCCAGCCTTCGCTGCCCCTCCTGCCCCCTCCCTGCAGCTCCTCCCTTTCTTAACACTCCTAACGATGTGATCAGCATCCTCATGTCCAGGATTTCCTTCTCATCTCTCTCAAAGCAGTTCCTCCCCTACTTCCCTATACCCTCCCACATCTCACCAGCTTGCAGGTGCACATCACAGGGGTCCAGTGGGGAGCCAGGGACCAGTGGGGAGCAGGCAGACAGTGTTTTCCAAGAATTGCCAAAGAGTTGCGGGGTGCTCTCAGGCACACCCACTGGGGACCTGCAGTCACGGCACAGTCATAGTCACAAACTTACCCACGTGTGAACCCGGAGGCGCAATTAGGCATGCACCCAGGTACGTACCCACTGGCTCATATACACACAGTCATAGACTAAGCATGAGCACACACCCAAAGGTACACGTGTACTCACCCAAATGTATAACATGTAGAGCCCCCTATGCACCATCTGCACACACCCTTAACACACAAACATATACACAGCACATGTTTATGTCATGCATATAGCCAAGGCAGTCCACACAGCCACATTAAAATACATACAATGATGGATGTGTACACGAGTGCACACGTGCGCGTGCACACACACACACAGCATGTTTAACAGGCCCAAAAGGGCTCAAAATGGGCTAGGACCACATACTGCCCACCTTCACCTCCCACATCCAGCTCTTCATGTGGAAAAGAGAAACAGGGACATCATGAAAAGTAACAGACGTTACAGGATTAAGACTTTCTCCCTTCTCCCTTCTCCATGGACAGTTCCTGAAAACTCCTTGACTGTCCCTTTGGCTTTCTAGGTAGGAAATGCTCACACAAGGGGCAGTAAGGGAGGAAGGGAGACAGCATGCTTCCCAGACATCACCAGTTGCCAAGAGTCACCAAACCAGGTGTAGGTGTAGGGGGTGGTTGTAGTTTCTTCGGTGGGGAAGGTCTACCTGGCATCTACTAGGCCTACATGATTGCTCCAGGGCAGGGAGCGCACTCATATTACAAAGAGCAATATTCCCATCCAGAGTTCACATCTAGGAGAGCAGCAAGCAGCCCACACACCAAGCCAAGGTCTGACCCTACCATTTGGCCAGCTGTCCTCCCACCAGCCCCACCAGGCAAAGCAGTATAGAATGCTATATTTGCAAATGTGCATGCATTGAGAAGTGCTCAGTTTTTTCTTGTTCTCATTTTTCACAACAGATCTGAATTCTCGTTTCTGGCTAAAGAATGCTTCCCATTTTTCTTTTCTTATTTCCCAGTGCATGCAACTTGGAGGACTGGCTAGAACCTCCAGGTTTCAAGACCAATCCTTTGTCCTGCCCAACGTGCTGTCAGCTCTTGGAAAACAGCCTTTCTCCAAATACAGGACGGTCATGGGGTGCAAACTCAGACGCCTTCAAGCACCAGGTAGGACAGCTATATAGGTTAGACTGGCCTGGTGGGATAGGCAGTGGCAAAGTTGGTGTCCTTGGCTCACCGGGGGCTTACGCTCTGCTAAAGGTGTTCAGTCAATTAAAACAAACACAACCACGAGTTGAATCAAACCCAGCCTGAGGGCCCCAGTTTTAAGGCCTCGATATAAAACAGCATTTCTCCAGGTGTGGTTCATGGACCTGCTGTCCTAGAATCACAATGATGCTTATCAAAAATGAGATTCCTAGGCCTCACCCTAGATCAGATTCTCGAGGAGCGGGCCCAAGAGTCAGCATTTGAACAAGCTCCTCAGTTGGCCCTCCTGCACACAAAGGACCACGAACCACTTAAAAGATGCAGACTTGAATGTAAATATGGATAAATTAGCAATTAAGGGTGCACGTCGAGCACGGAGAAAGGGAGACACGAGAGGCAGCGCCCGTGAACCCAGCCCTTCCGATTCCGGGGCGGGGCACGTACAAGAAGTCGTCCTGCGTGTTGCCGTTGAAGGTGCCGCAGAGGCCCACGGTGTCCTCCACCCAGCGCTGGTCCACCTGCAGGTAGAGCCGCAGCCCCTCGCGGTCGTAGAGCACCCTCACGCCCACGTTGGTCCTCACCCGCAGGAACACGGAGGACAGCCTGCGGATCTCGAAGGCGTCTGCGCACAGAACCGAAGAGGAGTCGGGGAGTCCGACCGGTGCACCCCCAGCCACCGCCGCCACCTGCCTGGCCCGCGCCCATCGCACGCTGGCCGTGAAGCCCTGCCCGCTCTGGGCTGGTTCTGCTCAGTGATGACTCGGCCCCCAGGGATGACTAGCCACGCCTGGGCTGGGAAACTTCCTTTGGCATCAAATGCCAGTGATAGCTCTGGTCTCACTAGGGAACTGGAGTTCCCATGCTGAACCCCCCATTCTCTGCACGATGGACTCAGTACAGTTGTATTGTGGAAGCTCACGATACAGTTTTAGATTCAACCAGCTGCTTCTATGCATCCTTCAGACCTCAGCTCAAATGCCATTTAAAAAAAATCTTAGTTTTCTACTCTGCAAAATGGGGATGCTAGTAGTGCTTACCTAATAAGATTGCTATAAGGATCAAGTGAAGATATATATATGCGTGAACATAGTAACTCCATATAAAGTTAGTTGTTATAGTATCATAATAATATTGTTGTACTACAACGGTATTTATTATTGTTTTGATTATTTTTACATTACTCTTATCATTTCCTAGGGTGGCCTTTCCCAGCTCTGCAGACTCTAAGTCTCATTCCTTCATATGCTTTCCTAGCACTCTACGCCTGTTTGCAACACTGGTCACAACTATGATTGAATCATCAACTTTATAATTACTTATTTAGTGTCTGTGTCCCACATGAATATGTGATCTATTCATATTGAAATTTAAATTTTATATTCAACTGTAACAAATGCTAAGCCCTTAGGGCTTGCATTTCTGTAGCCTTCTTATACCCAAAGCATTTCCATCTTGAGTCCCTATTTTGTTGTTGTTTTGTTTTTCTTTCTTACTTTATTTTACTTTATTTATCTGGTGCTAGCAAAACTTTATTAATAGTTTTGCTATTTCTGTTAGATGTGTTTCCTACAAGCTGCCCGTAAGTCCCCTGTGGAATCAGACATTTTAACAAGTAATGAATAAACAAATTCTGAGACTCAGGATGGGAAATGATTCCATGCATATGCTAGTGTTAGGAGAAGCCATCATACTGCTATGAAGCCCACTGTCATGCTGGGGTGGGGACAAAGACACATTTTAGTCTACATGCCTCAACCCAAGGAAAGCTCCCCTAGCCTGACCCACCCTGTAATAGAACATGAGTTCTTGCCAGTGCAGCAGTGCTTTTGGCCATAAGAGCTGAACAACCAGCTCCCAACCAGCTTTCTTGTTCATCCCAAGCCATACCGTCTGTGTAGGGTGGGGTGATCTTGTACTGGTCAGACAGAAGGATATCCCCTGCCTGGGTCAGGGTAACCTGCCTCCGAGGATCCTGGTGCAGAATCACTGACACCGACTGGACACAGGCTCCATCCTGGTTCTGGAGAAAGAGAAAGGCCGATGGGGCAAAGTTGGTTTGTCTGTTCTGCTGTCTCCGACAGAGCCTTCCAGGGACAGGAACGCCAGCCCAGTTTGAGGGGCAGGCGCCTCAGAATGACAGAGCCCGGAAGGATATCAGGGGTCATCTAACCAAATGCCCTCATCTAGAGAATAAGCAGTCAGAAGCTCAGATTGAAGAAGGCTAACAGCAGAGCTGGGATAACACTAATAAAAATGACAGTCAACTCTCAGGTTGTCTAAAGACACAGAGAAGAGACGGGATCCAGATGACTCAGAGACCAGCCTTGAAAACACTGCCTCCCCCCAACCTCATCACAACTCAGAGCTTGAGTTTCATCCTTTAATGCATGTTTATATAGCTCTTTTCACATGACAGGCAGGCAGGAAATGAGCTGATAATCTCTGGGCCTCAGGTTCTCCATCTCTGAAATGGGTAGTACACATGGACCCCATTCATACTTTTCTTTTACAGGAAAACATTCATACAATCATTTGAACAATTCCTGATCACCTACTATGTGTAAGACACACTGTACCAGGCTTTATATGGACACAGTGATAAACAAAACAAATATAGTCCCTGTCCTCATGGAGATTACATATTTGTGTGGGGCACAGACACTAAATAAGTAATTACAAAGTGGATGATTCAATCAAAATTGTGATCAGTACTTCAAACAGGTGTAGAGTGCTAGGAAAGCATATGAAGGAAGGAGACTTAATCTGCAGAGATAAGAAAGGCCACCCTAGAAGATGATAATAGTAATGTAAAAACAGTCAAAACAACAATAAAAACCTTAAAAGTACTAAAATATTATTATGATACTATAACAACAGCTAACTTCCTATGGAGTTACTATGTTCAGGCACTAGTTTTATCTCATTATATCATTCACTTAAACCTTTTAGCAATCTTATTAGGTAAGTACTAATAGCATCCCCATTTTGCAGATTAGAAAACTAAGACTTTTTAAAAGTGACATTTGAACTGAGATCTGAAGGATGCATAGAAGCAGCTGGGCAAAGAAGGGGAAGAGGGAGACATCCAGGCAGAGGGAACAGCCTGTACAAAAGCCCTGAAACAGGAAGGTGTTTAATGCATTCAAGGACATTAAGAAGACCAGAGGGACCAGGCAAAGCGGAACCCATCAGGCAAAGTGGTTGAAGATGAGGTTTAAGAAGTAGGAAGGAACCAGCCAGGCAGAATCTTATATATTTTTGGACTTTATCCAAGTCTGACAGATAGCCAAAGAAAGCATAACGGGCGAGTGACACAATTAAATGCAGTGAAATGAAGAAATGATCAGGACTTGAACCTTTTCAGAAAGACTGTGTAACAAGCCACACTGTTAAGTGCCTGCTTTGGGGGACAGAAAATCCCTGAAACAGCTAAAAATCATTGTATCTAAAACATCATCTTCTTTGTCAAACTTACTCATCCCCTAGTCCCCTCTGGACATGTCATTGGTGTGGGAATAAAGCCCACACCCTTTAATCAGACTCAGGTTCCAGCTCTAATGTCACCGAAGTTTATGAGTCCTTAAAGAAGTCATTGAACTTCTCCAGACTTCAGTTCTTTCCTCTGCAAAATAGAGATACAATAATACTTGGTTGGTCCCATCTAGTTGGGTACAGATTTTACAAATGTGCGTGAAGTACTCTGGAGGTTGCATTTATCAAAGCCCGCACAAAGAGTGAAATGTAATAATTTCTGCAAAGTTTTAAAATCATATAGGAGGGTGATCTGGGATGGAATGCAGATGGTAACAGAAGAATCTAACTGTATTACAAATGTTTGAAAAAGTCTCACTGAAGGGAGCGAGAGGAAAGGTGTTGATGTAAGTAAATGTAAATAAGTGGAGTTTGTAAGTCTAAAGGCAAAAGGAACTGTGCACAAGCACTGTACTCTAGTTGATAAAGTTCTTTCCTATGGAGGTATGGGTTCAAAATAGGAACATACATGGATACTGGAATTGAACAATTGGGTAAATGGATGATGGGTAATGAAAGCCATATTTCTTACTGTTTGAGTGGTTGTTTACAGATAAGCCAGAGGAAGAGGCTAGAATGATCCATGTAGCAATGGATTAGAGTTGGAACATCAGTATGAAGTCACATTTAGCACTTACAGATATATACAGTTACACAAAGATTTATAGATCTGTGTATATACATTGTTTATACAAAGATATACAGGGTTATACATTTACTGTCAGTCCTCCATAGCTGTGGGTTCTGCATCCATGGATTCAACCAACCATGGATTGAAATTATTTGGAAAAATAAATTAGATGGTTGTGTCTATACTGAACATGGACAGTTTTTTTTCTTGTCATTATTCCCTAAACATTATAGTATAACAACTATTTACATAGCATTTACATTGTGTTGGGTATTATAAGTAATCTAGAGATAATGTAAAGTATATGGGATATAAGGGGCTTGAGGTTCTGTGCATTTTTTTTTTTTGGTATTTGTGGGTTGAGGGAGACTGGAACCAATCCCCCATGGATACCGAGGAACAGCTGTATTTACTTTCTGTCAGCTGAGAAGGCCTAAAAGAAATGATTCTTCAGTAACAATAAGTACACCTAGTACCCACATCTTAGTTTCTAATCCCTCTCTCTAATAAAAGAACCAGCCGGGCTCAGTGGCTCAGCCTGTAATCCCGCACCTTTGGGAGGCTGAGGTGAGTGGATTGCCTGAGACCGCGGGTTCGAGACCCGCCTGGGCAGCGAGACCTCATCTCTACAATAAATCAAAAAATCAACCAGGCGTGGTAGCGCATGCCA